TCCCATGGGAAATAATGTAGTGACTCACAAGGTAGCCGAGAATGACAAGTTCTAGTCTGTGCTTTGAGTACCAAAGAAACAATGAACACTGGGACAAAATTTTCGCATCAAAATGCGTTGAGTACCAAATTGAGTTGTGTTTCAAAACAGTTGAGTGCCAAAATACCACTGTATTTACTCTGCTACTGTAATATCCTCATTCTGTTTCTTTGTCTACGAATTGGTTTATCTTGTAGGTTGTAAAAAGTAGGAACAACTGGAAATAAATAAAAATTGATGCTGAAAATTGTTTTTGCCTAGCAGGTTGGGAAGTGACGGTACTATATATATTTTCCATTCTATTCCTGGATGAGAGAAAGAGAAGGTTATGTTGTTCAAGTTGTTAATTATTTTTCAACTCTTGGAGGATGATGACATTGTAGGAGGACAGCTGTGTTTATCTATGGTGACAAAAAAAAATCAAGAGTCTAATAGCATCTGATCAGATATGGTAGCATCAGATGCATCTGACGTCATGGAATATATGCCTTTTAATAAAAATTGTTAATTGGAAAACCAGATTCTTCTCCCCCCCCCCCCAACAGATGAAGGAAAGTTTCACACCCTTTTATAGAATGCCTCAAAGGTCCTGTGATTGTGTGCTACAGGGCTTGGGCATCTGAAGGCTGAATTTCATTGTAGGACATTGAATGAAAAGTATGTTTCTCTGGACCAGAAAATAACTTTTATCTCTCCAGGGGGCTGATGAGACGAAGGTTCCAAGCAGCCTTTGAAACCGGCAAGGATATCTGAGATTGGAAGCTGCAGAAAATGAGGAAAGAAATTGGAAGCATGGCCTCCTGTCGCCATACATGCTCCATAAAAAAGCAAGAAAATGAAAGCTACCTTTAAATGCATTAAGAGTTTGCTAGCAAAACAGGTTCTACTGATGCAAGAGATGGCCCTCGGTGTACATTATTTGAGTGGGGAGGGGGGAAGACCTGAAATTGCAAGGCCAAGGCAACAGGAACGATGCAGATTATTTATCATTTTCTTTAAACAGTTTTAAAAAAACCTTAGATGAGAGTTAGTGAAAATTGTATTTTCCAATTATATATATTTCAATTATATGTTGCCTCCAGAATTAATAAAACTTATGTTTTCTTAAGCACTGATGGTGTTACCTAGTTAAGGTAATGAAGAGTCTGCAGGAAAACAAGCAGGCTCAGAGAACACCCAGGACCCCTCATTTCAACCCTGAGCTACAAATATTCTCCTTCATTGGAAATTTCTATAATAATAATAATAATAATAATAATAATAATAATAATAAAGTTGGAAGGGACCTTGGAGGTCATCTAGTGAAACACCCTGCTCAGGCAGGAAATCCTATACCATTTCAGACAATGGCTGTCCAGTTTCTTCTTAAAAACTTCCAGTGTTGGAGCATTCACCGCTTCTGGAGGCAGGTTGTTCCACTGGTTAATTGTTCTGTCAGGAAATTTCTCCTTCGTTCTAGGTTGCTTTTCTCCTTGATCAGTTTCCATCTGTTGCTTCTTGTCCTGCCTTCAGGCGCTTTGGAGAATAGCTTGACTCCCTCTTCTTTGGGGCAGCCCCTGAGATATTGGAAGACTGCTATTATGTCCCCCCCTTGTCCTTCTCTTCATTAAACTAGACATATCCAATTCCAGCAACCATTCCTTATATGTTTTAGCCTCCGGTCCCCTAATCATCTTTGTTGCTCTTCTCTGTACTCTTTCTAGAGTCTCAGCATCTTTTTTACATCATGGTGACCAAAACTGGATGCAGTATTCCAAGTGTGGCCTTACCAAGGCATTGTAAAGTGGTATTAATATTTCACGTGTTCTTGATTTTATCCCTCTGTTAATGCACTGTGTTGGCTTTTCTGGCAGCTGCAGCACACTGCTGCCTCATATTTAAATGATTGTCCACTAGGACTCCGAGGTCCCTCTCACAGTTACTACTATTGAGCAAGGTACCCCCTATACTATACCTGTACATTTGGTTTTTCTTGCCTAAATGTAGAATCTTACTTTTTTCACCACTGAATTTCATTTTGTTAGATAGCGCCCAGTGTTCAAGTCTGTCCAGATCCTCCTGTATCTTAAGCCTGTCTTCTGGAGTGTTGGCTATTCCTGCCAGCTTGGTGTCATCTGTAAATTTGATGAGTTCCCCATCTATCCCCTCATCCAAATCGTTGATGAAGATGTTGAAGAGCACGGGGCTGAGAACAGAACCCTGGGGCACCCCACTAGACACTTCCATCCATGTAGATGCAGTTCCACTGAAGACCACACGTTGAGTATGGCGGTCAGCCAGCCACGAATCCATCTGGTGGTGATGCTGTCTACTCTAACCCACATTTTTCTATCTTATCAAGTAGTAGGTTGTGATCTATTTTATCAAATGCCTTACTGAAATCCACGTAAATTATATCCACAGCATTCCTCTGATCCACTAATTTTGTCACTTGGTCAAAGAATGCAATAAGATTTGTCTGGCATGATCTGTTTTTGACAAAGCCATGTTGGCTTTTAGGTGTTTGCCTCTAGGTGTTCGCTGATTCGTTGTTTATCTTTTCCAGAATCTTCCCAGGTATTGAGGTTTGGCTGATAGGTCTGTAATTTCCTGGATCCATTTTTTTCCCTTTTTTGAAGATGGGAACTACATCAGCTCTTTTCCAGTCCTCAGGTAGTTCCCCAGTGCTCCAGGACCTTTGAAAAATATAGTTCAATAGTTCTGAGATCATATCAGCCAGTTCTTTGAGAACCTTGGGGTGTAATCTATCTGGTCCTGGTGACCTGAACTCATCCAGGCTGGACAAGTGCTCACTTACCATTTTCTTGCCCATCTTAACTTGTGTTTCTAATCTATTTTTATGGTACTGTTTTTGATAAGTTGAACTAATTTTTTTCCTTTGTGTAAAGACAGGTGCAAAAAAAATGAATGAAATAGTTCTGTTTTCTCCCTGTTGCTTGACACCTTCTTCCCCCACTAATGGACCAATCATTTCCTTCACTTTTTTCTTGTTTTTTACATGTTGAAAGCAGCTTTTTTGTTATTTTTGACTTTGGTTGCAAGCCTTACTTCATTTGAGCCTTAGCTTTCCTCATTTCATCTTTGCAGGCTCGGGCTATTTGCTGATATTCTGCCTTAGTTACGTGCCCCTCTTTCCACTTTTTATACTTGTCCTTTTTATATTTCAATTTATCAGAGAGTTCTTTATGCAGCCATGCTGGTTTCTTTTGAGAGCTGTTATTTTTCTTCTTTGTTGGTATTGTGCTAGGCTGGGCTTTTATTATCTCACTTTTCAAAACTTCCCAAGCTTCTTGAGTTGTTTTCCCCTTGAGGATTCTCATCCATGGAATCCTTTCCAAGCCCGCTCTATGTTTATTGAAATTAGCTCTCTTAAAGTCCAAGACTCTAGCTTGACTGTGTTCTATTGCTTGGGCTTCCATAATGTTGAATTCTAATACTGCATGATCACTTCCCCCCAAGGTTCCTGTGGCTTCAACACCTTCTATCATTTCATCTCTGTTAGTGAGAATTAGATCCAATATGGCTAATCCCCTAGTTCCCTTCTCTACTTTTTGGGAGACAAAGTTGTCTGCTAGGTTTGTCAGGAATCTGTTTGATCTTCCACTTGGTGCAGAGTTTGCCTCCCAGTTGATGTCAGGGTAATTAAAGTCCCCCATTACTATCGTGATGTGCTTCCTACATACCTTAGTTAGCTAGCAAAAAGTTCATCTATTTCCTGTTTGGTTGGTTGGCCTGTAGTATACACCTATGGCAATGTCATTTCCCTCCCCCCTTTTATATTGACCCAAATGCATTCAAGACAGTTTTCATCATTGTTGTGCTCTATTTCTGTAGAGTTGTAGTTATGTCTTATAGATAGAGCAACTCCACCTCCTCTTTTATTTGGTCTGTTTCTTTTAAATAATTTAAATCCCTCTAGCTGTGTGTTCCATTTGTGGGTTTTATCCCACCATGATTCTGTAATGGCAACAATATCATATCTGCCCTCATTAACCTAAATTTCTAGTTCACCCTGTTTGCTGTTCATACTTTCTTCAATCACTTTGCCAATCTGACTGCAGCATGGTTGCCACCCCTGCACACCTCTATCCCTGCACAGCTAGGAGAGGGACCTTGCCATCCACCATCTCTGGAAATCCAAGGTTACAAAACACAATTCCCTCTGTTGAGTCAGAAAGAAATCTGTGTTTGGAGGTCCCTGCTCTGAACTCTGCTCGGTTCTACATGGTGTAAGTCCCCTGTCTCCAGTAGGGCTCCTCCTTGAAGCCCCCTTCAAACCTCCAGGCATCTTTTTAAGTTTCTCTTTTCTTCCTCCAGCCACCCACTGTGATTTCATTTCATTCATTTGCAAGAAATTCCAGGTTGTCTCCAGTGAAGAGGAGACCCTGGCCTGGATTAAGGCATCAGGAGCTTTAGGGGACAACCCCCCCCCTCCAAAAGTAAAAGGGAAAAAAAAGATGCAAAAGTTTTTTTGGGGGGGTGGGGGGAAGCAATTGCATTAGCTCCATCCAAGCCCACACATCACATAGACCTAAAAGTCCAGGCCTAACCTGGGCTGGAGAAAACCAGCAAGAAAACTGAGAACATCCCGGACTGAACTCTTCCTTCTCTTGGCACGAAAAAACGCAAAGCGGCAAGAGGCTTACCGCGTTCAGAAAACCTCCAAATCACGTGCCGAGAGGCCTTTTTGAGGAGTAAAGACGGGCTGGGTCGGGGCTGGGGAGGGGGGCAAAGGCTTCCTCCTATCCCAGCGAGGCCTGCGCCCGCCGGCGTCCACGCGCACCCCGAGGGGCGAAACTTCAATGGGGAAAGAAGACTCGCCATTATGCCGGGCTCCCCGTGCACCTTCCGGGGTCCCACGCCATCTGCTCGGACCTTCTCCAACCGCCTCCCCTTCCCGCGTGTTCTTCTCCTTCTCCCCACGCCCCCCCCCCCATGCTCGCCCTGTTCATCCAACTCACCCAGGGCCAGGCAGAGCAGCAGCGAGAGGGGTCGCGGGGCGGCCATGCTGGGAGATCGGATCCAGGGTGCGCTCCCTTCTCGGCCGGGAGGTGGGCCGCTCCGGTGGGCTCGTCCCGCCCTTTCCAAGCAACCTCTTGCGGTCAACAGTCAGACGATCCTGGGCAAGAACCTTCCCGGGAGGGTATTTATAGCTTGCTCAGCGGCCGCCCCAAGGAAACCCCGCCGCGGCTCGGAATGTCCCAGCCGGATCCACTGCCCTTGCCTTGGACACCCGATCCTCCTCCCCGGGATCTGTACGGACGTCGGCCGCACGAGGCGCTCCGCCGCTCCTGACCCCGACGACGACGGCTGCTGCTGCTGCTCCCGTCGCCCCGGGTCTGCGAGGGACCCAAGTCGGGGAGCGAGATGGCACGAAGAAGCAGAGGAGGCGGCCGGCTGCTGGGGGAGCCATAAAAGTTGGGATGGGCCCGAGGAAAGGCGAGCGGCGGCGCGGTGGGAAGCGGGTCCCCTTCTTCAGCCAGCCATGGGCAAGGCGGCGGCTGCTGCTCCCGATCGCGCCGCCCAAGGCTCGGCCACCCGCGCTCCCGCGTCCTTTTCGCTTCAAGGTGCGCCCGGGCCGACAAGGTGGAGGCTTGCGGCCCTGCTCGGCTGAAAGGTCGCGGCTCCCCCGGCCCGCGAGGAAGCCCCCGGGCGATCTTCCCGAAGCCTTTTCTCAATTGGGGCGGGGGAGGGTGTCGCTTCTCTCCAAATGAGGCGCCTCCTCTTAAAAAGAAAGAAAAAAGACCACTTTTCCAAGCAAGCCCTTTGCAAAAGGCAAGCTCTCCGCTGGCGCCCAGGAGGAGCCCGAGATCAGCCGCCTCCTCGGACAGGTGCCTCCGCGGGACTCAAGAGGGCCGGATCCATAGCTTCTTCGCCGGCTGGCTGGCCGACTGGCTGAAACCTTGTCGCGCCGCAACGGGGGTCGGAGCCACTGCGGTCCCCGCCTTCAGATCTCGCGAAGCCTGGCTCCGCTAAAAGAAGAAGGATCGGTTGGAGCTCCTGCGCTTGATGCGGAAGGGAAGGATCGGGCCCGCCCGGGAGCTGGACGACTCCTCGCTTCCTCCCCCCCACACCCCTTCTCCTCTTTCCTTCGCCCCTGCGGCGACCTACCCCTCTCCCCCTTCCCTTAGCCTTCTCCGGCGGCGCGCACCGCTGCGGCAGAGGCTGAGCCGCCCGGGAACTGCTCTGACTCGCTGCTGGACAGGGCGAGGAAGGATGAATCAAAGCGTGCGCCAGGCGGAGGAGGCGGGCGCCGCCAAACTTGATGCATTGCAGCAGCGGCGGCGGTGGCGGCGTAACCGGGGGGAAGCCACGCAGGGTGGAAGGGGAATAAAGGTAGGAAGCCGGGCGAGCCGGGCTGGGCCCGCAGTGGCTTCACCCGCCCGCCTCCGAAATCTGGCGATCATCGGAACGTGAGCGAGGAAGAGGCAGCGTGGGCCGCGGGGGGGGGAGGCGGGGGGATGGAAACACGACCATAGGCGGAGGAGGGATGCGTCACTCTCCGCAGTGGCTGCGGAGCCCGTCCCGAGGCACCCCCCCCCCAGCGTTGAGTCCCAGCTCTGCTCCCTGTTCTAATCCTCGGTTCGGCCTAGAGAAGTTTTTCTGGTAAAATACGAGGGTGGAGGTCCAGTTGACCAGAAGGAAAGTTTTCCAAACTGCTAGTTGTTGAGGACTGGGTGAGGAGTATGAAAAACACTTTGCACATCCCCAGAGAGCCTCCTGGTTATTGAGGTGGTCCAGAAGGCTGGAAGGAATTCCGGTAGCTTAACTTGCATGGGAGATTAAATTCCTGATCTCTTCCTTTATGCTCACTCCAGCCCAATATTGTCCTTTTGGTTTTGCTACTTTTTCTTGGTTGAATTGCAAAGTTGACAAAATCCTAGTCCTAGCCTAGTTGGAGAGAATGACTGCACATGGGCAAAGTTAAGCTCCTGACTGTAGATTAATTCAATCAATCAATCAATCAATCAATCAATCAATCAATCAGAACAGAGCTGGAAGGGACCTTGAGGGTGTTCTAGTCCAACCCCCTGCTCAAGCAGGAGACCCTATGCCATTTCAGACAAATGGCTGTCCAGTCTCTTTTTAAAAACCTCCAGTGATGGAGTACTTACAACTTCTGAAGGCAAGCTGTTCCACTGGTTAATTGTTCTCACAGTTAGGAAGTTTCTCCTTAATTCCAGGTTGCTTCTCTCCTTGATTAGTTTACATCCATTGTTTCTTATCTTGACTTCTGATGGTTTGGAGAATAATTTGACCCCTTCTTCTTTGTGGCAGCCTCTCAAATACTGGAATACTGCTATCGTGTCACTCCTAGTCCTTCTTTTTTCTAGACTAGCCAAACCCAAACCCTACAATAATTCTTCATATGTTTTAATTTCCAGGCCTATAATCATCCTAATTGCTCTTCTCTGCACTTCTTCCAAAGTCTCAACATCTTTTCTGTAATGTGACCAACTCTGGATGAAATTCTACTTTCCAAATTATTAGGGGAAATACTTTGAATGGCCAGCTCAAAGCTTCTGGAGTAAATAATCTTGGAACTTTGAATGGTCAGTAAATGAATGATAGTAAATCAAGGACTACCTGTAGCGGGGCGAAGACAAGAATCTAGATTAGCATTGGCAAATGTTTTCTGCGTCTTTTACCTATCAAGGAACCCTTGTAATGGGCCATAAAGCAGGAGCAGGTTTTTGTCACCATCAACCAAGGTCAGCTATCTGTTGCAATGGCATTCAGTAGTAACAAAGCTGCTATTGCTCTTTGCCCCATTACAGTTTTAGTTTAGTCTTAGTTTTGCATGAATGCTGGTCTTGGGCTTTGACCATAAAGGCTTGACTTGATCACATCTGCTGGACAAAAATGCGCAAGTACCATTATGGGGATTATGTGCGTAGATGGAACAAATTCTACCAACCAGAGGCACAAATTCTACCCCCAGCAGCCGGCCGCCTCCTCTACCAACCAGCCGAGGTGGCGCAGCAGTTAGGGTGCAGTACTGCATGCCACTTTAGCTGACTGTGTTCAGCAGGTCAGTGGTTCAAATCTCACCGGCTCAAGATTGACTCAGCCTTCCATCCTTCCAGGGTGGTAAAATGAGGACCCAGATTGTTGGGGGCAATGTAAATATATATATACATTGCTTACTGGTGTACACCGCTTAGAGCAGTGGTTCTCAACCTTTCTAATGCCGTGACCCCATAATACAGTTCCCCATGTTGTGATGACCCCCAAGTGGGTGTGGCCACCAATAAGAGGGAGTGGTCAGCTAGGGAAAAGGGAAAAAAATGGCGGACAGCGTGGTTTGGCGACCCCGTGAAATGGTCGTTCGACCCCAAATGGGGTCCCGACCCACAGGTTGAGAACCACTGGCTTAGAGAGTGCTTGCACTTAAAGCGGTATATAAGTCTCATAAATAAATAAACCATGCTTTTAAAAAAAAATCCTAAATGGCAGAGCTTTTCAGCCTATTGGTTAGGAACCCCTGGAGAGTTATGATAACTTAGAAGGGGATTGCAGCGTGTTTAGAATTAGCTCCAGACAGAGAGGGGGGTCAGTCTAAAAGGCTTTGTGTCTGTCTTTGCCTGCACAAGTCCCATGAGTGATGGCAATCCTGAAAACCTAGAGAAATTTGGGTGTATGTTTGTGTGTGTGTCCAAGTGGTATTGTTGACTCCTAGTGATTGTCTAGCCCTAGACTAATCCTTGCAGTTTCCTTGGCAATATCTTTCAAAAGTGCCTTTGCCTTCTTCCTAGGGCTGGGAGAGAGTGCCCCATCCAAGGTCACCCAGCCAGATTTCATGCCTATGGCAGGATTAGAACTCACTGTCTCCTGGTTTCTAACCTAATCCCTTAACCCAGTGGTGGCGAACCTATGGCACGGGTGCCAGAGGCGGCACTCAGCCTTCTCTGTGGGCACATGTGCCATCGCCCCAGTTCTAGGCCTTCAGCTGGGTTTTATAAAACCTTTTCGCTTTAGGCCTCCACTGCCGGGTGCAAAAAAAAAAAAAAGGTTCAATCAATCAGTCAATTTCAACTTCTCGCAGGAAAAAAAAGGTCTTGCAAAGGTGGAACTGATTGATTTAACTTTTTAGTCCCACCCAGTCTGCCATTACCACCGCAGCCACGCCCACCCAATTGGCAACACCCAGCCAATGGGCCACACTCACCTAGCATTCGAGGAAACATAAGTGGGTTTTGAGTTGTAGTTTGGGCACTCGGTCTATAAAAGGTTCGCCATCACTGCCTTAACCGTTATAATTCATCAGACTGCTCTCTTGAGAAGCCTTCTGATACTAACTTAGAATGTAATGAGTCAATGTTTATTTTTTATGCAGTTCTGGCTTTAGAGAAATAATTCAGTATTGTCGTATGACAATAAACCAAAGGAGCTATTTTGGCCTTGCACGGGATCCACTGAAAAATAAATACATTTCTTTCACTAAAGCACAAGGGCAGAGCTCAAACAAAAAAAAAAAAGGAAGAACTTGGGCAGTTGTCTTTCACCTTGATCTAATTGTAGGATTGTTTTAAGTAGGAAAACTGGAGCGGGGCAGAAGAACTGCATGCTCCCATCATCTCCCCTATAGGACCAGTAGTATAGATATACATAAACGCATTTGATTTTCTTGCTGCCTTCGTCAAGATAAAAGCAGGGCCGTATCATCAAGTAACCAGCCTTTCAAACAAGTCCAGACAGGGAACCAAAATGATGAGTACTAACACTATGAATGAAGGCAAATTTATGTGTCCCAGGATGTTTTCCAATCTGGGTTGGTCACCAGGACCAGAGATTTAATCTTCCAAGCTTTCAGACTTATGCTGGAGTCCACCCTCAGGGAATTTTTCTCCAATAGATCCTGGATCTAATTGGATCCTGCAACTAACACTACCTTTATTGTAAGCTTATAATAACAAAATCTTGCAAGTCTGAAAGCATTTCTCCCCTCTTATTTTTATTTTCCAGAGAATGAGGGGCAGTCCCTTTTGAGATGCTTTCTACACTCCCTTCTGTGAGCTGAGACATCCCTTGTCTAATTAGTGTCTTGCCTGTCTTCCTCCTGCCTTCCAATATCATTCTTACATCCCTTTGTGAGCTGCATCCCTTTTGTATAGCCTTGTGACATCACGGCACATGTGCAAAAGGAGTGGGGCATGCATTTCAATCATGCTTTTGTCCATCTCAGGGACACGGAATGCAAAAACAGTTAAACAAAAGTCTGCTAAGTTTTGGAAAACAAGAGGGGATGAGATAACCCCAGTTATCTTCATATCTTTTCAAGATTCTGTTATTACCCACTGCAACAATAAAGTGAATTTCCAGTAATTCTTGTGGCGTCTGATCCCCAAACTGGCCTACTTCGAAAGGCTGACATCCATTTTGCAAGCCAGACAAGAGAGAAATGTAGGAACAATGGAAAAAAAGCAAGTCAAACATATTTAGACAAAACATTTTTAAAAATGCATTCCTCCCCAAAAAGACACACACGAAGGCACTGCAAACTCCGATCCACGGTCTTTATTTCACTTCCTAATAAATAAGCCCTGGCATTTTTTTTCTTTTTTTTCTGGAACTGCAAACACACTGGATTATTAATACTGAACAGATCTACAAAAAATGAAGGAAAGAGACCGCCCCTCCCTCCCTCCCTCCCCCAATTTTAATGGGAGAAGGGTAAAAAAGGGAGAGGGTCTGATACCTGGGTCTCCCAGGTTTTTGGGGAAAGGGAACACAGAGCTGACAGACACATAACCCCCTCTCCAGGAGGGGGCAGATTTAATGCCCCCTCCCTGCCCCTGGCAGTATATTTGAAGGGCTTAAGAGGCCAAGATTGGCAGTGAAACTTCACTTTATAGTGGACAATACAGCTTCTTTGTGGGAAGGCAAGGCCCAGCTGCTGTTATCCACGAGGCTGATGTGAGAGTCTCCCATGTGGCACACATGGCATGCTGCACAGGGTTTAAAAAAATAAAACCCAAATGGAACCACCTTGACTGCACCCAGATACAACATTCCCTAAAAAGCACCATTTGGAGCATTATGTACTAAATTATCTTGGTTTGCCTGGCACACCAAACGAAATGCCTGGTGAACGAGAACAAACGTTAGCACTTTACCCATTCTCTCAATAGCTATATACCATTTGTTAACAGAGTTTTAAAGTGTTTTCCACATTCAGAAAAAAAGCTGCACCATTGGAGGTTACGGAATACATAAACCTGTAACCTGCCTTGGCTACAAAGTCCATTTTCAATAAACCTCAAATGGTGACTATTTCTGTTCCAGATTACCACACAGTAGGTTGTCGTTTTTCAGTCTTAGCAATATTAAGATGTCTGGACTTCAACTCCCAAAATTCCCCATGCTGGTTGAGGAATTGTGGGAGTTGAAGTCCAGAGATCTAAAAATGGTGAAGGTTAGAAACCCTGCATTAAGCTGATGACTGACTATGCACAGTGGGAAGACAGGTGTGCTTTTTCATCAGACATTGGGATTTAGTGTTGCGTAAACACAGTCGAAGTGAGCAGGGCTCAGATGATACTTTCAGAAGTCAGATGCTACTCAGAAAAGGACTGAACTGGATTCCAGCATCTATATGTGTGTATACAGAAGTGCTGGTGTATGTATCTTTCGAAGTTCCAGGGACACTTCAAGGGTGACCCCTTGTTCAGAAAGTTTTCTGTGATAACAGATGCCATCAACAAGAAGATGCTGTAGTCCAGCCCCCCTGATTTTTGTGTGTGTGAAAATGCGGGGCTGAAAATGCTTTACCCTGTCGGAGGTAATTGGTTGGGAAGATCCCTTTGAAGAACGCTGACAATCTACCCACCAATGGCAGGAAAGACAGGGCAAGGGAGCAGCAGGGAAGAGAGCTGAAGAAGGAATGAACCCTCTTGGAGCCTCTGAATTGCTTTCACCCCACCATCAAGAGCAACAGCAATAGCACTTAGACTTATATACCACTTCACAGGGCTTTACGGCCCCCTCTAAGTGGTTTACAGAGTCAGCCTCTTGCCCCCAACAATCTGGGTCCTCATTTTACCGACCTCGGAAGGATGGAAGGCTGAGTCAACCTTGAGTTGGTCAGTAGGCAGTCAGGAGAATTAGCTGCATTACTGCATTCTAACCACTGTGCCACCACAGCTCTGTTCATGGTCGCTTGTGCATGTGTATGTGTGTGTGTGTGAGAGAGAGAGAGAGGGAGGAAAGGAAAGGAAAGGAAAGAAGAGGAAAGGAAAGGAAGGGAGGGAATGGCAGAACTTGGTTCTTTGCTGCCCTCCATTAGGCTATCTTAGCTATTGAGTGAAGTTTCAGTGCAAAAGATAGATCCCCGCTCCAGAGGCCATCCCCCGCCCAAAACTGATCCCACCCTCCTCCCTCCCCAAACAATAGCTGGAAAAAAGAACCGGTGCCAGGATACAGGGAAATCAAGGATTCTTGGGGGTCCTGGATGCAATATAAATACCACTGAAGTGGGAAAGGGATGAAGAGAAGTCCCTACAGGAACAATCCCAGGAAGAGTGATCCAAGGGAGATGTTCCCGGCGAAACGGTTTCCACCAAGAGATCCATCGCTACCAGTGGCACTCTTGAGGATAATGTCCAGGTGGTGGATCCGGTGAGAAGCACAGTGCTGTCTCCTCCCACAGGATGCTCACACCACTGGTTCAACAGTTTCTGAGATGGATCTCAGGAGTCTTCTTTCTGGTAACTCAGCAACCTCCTCAAAAGAGAGAGAGGGAGATGCTGTGGCTTCACTCCGGTTCCAACGGTGGCTCTGCCACCATGATGCCTTGCTGCAACTTCTCCAGGGAGAGTTTCATCTGGTGGAAAGTGAACAATAAGTTATGCCCCAAAGAGGAAAGCATTGCCCCAACCAAGAAGAAGGAAGCTCTGCTTCAGTTCACATAACATATTAAGCTCTGCGTTTTACTGGACAAGGCAGAACTGGTTGCTTTCACAAAACACCGCAAATCATCAACCAAAGATATCAAGATACTGGTTGAACCCAACCTATAGGCAAAGATCCCATCAGTATTTCACCGCATATTTGTGCTCCACTTGTAGACGAGCCTAAGCCAGCCTTCTGTAACCTTGTGACTTCCATACAATTATTTCAACACATCTTGAAGGAATTGGGATACTAAAGGTTTGCTTAAACTGTCGCCGTAGCAATTCATAGTCAAGTATGAGTGTTGGGTAACCAATTCCATATCCTAAGATTTTGGATTTTCCACTTTTTGTTAAAGAAATAAGGATGGAGAATCTGTGCTTCTCCCATCACTGGACCTGGCAACTCCAAAGATCCCTCAAAAAGATATGGAGAGCCACCGATTCCCCATCCTTGCCTTGAAGTTACAAAAGCTGGTTTCAAAATCTTTGGTATAGAGGTAGACAGTCTGGTGCCTTCCTGCCCATTTGAACTTCAACTTCCATCAGGACCAACCTGCCTGACAATGATAAGGGACGATAGGAATGAAGTCCGATATCTCTTAATCTCCATTGTATGGTCAACATCTAACGGAAATCTCTTGACACTAAAAAGGGCTTCTGGAAACTAAGAGTTGGGGCATTGTTTCTCACATTTTCAATGATCTAGCAGGACTGGGAGAACATTCAAACTGGAGAGCTCACCTCATCCAGAAGTTCCACTGATGCCTTCAGGATCTGTTTCCACTTTTGCACCTCCACACTATGGAACTGTTTTTGCAACTCCAGAATCTCTGCCCATTCCGAGGCTGTCTGTGGAAGTTTCCTGTCAGGCAAGGAGACAAAATTTTCTTAACTATGATGGATCAGCATTGTGTCCACTTCTTGAGTTCACTTTCTGTGAATTATCACACCCCTCACTAGTGTTTAATGCAGAAGTCATTTGGCTTTACAGAACCTAACTGCCCTGATTCTAAGGCTGGGGGAGAAGCTATATTCTCTATAAACTTTTTATAGCAATTTAGGGCAATATCCTAAAACATACTGGAAGGGGTCAGATTTTATGGCCATTTGGGCTTTAGAGGTATGGAAGGAAGGTTATAATTCTATTTTAGAAGCAAGTTAGGTTTATCAGAAAATCAAGTTGCATCTATCTGGGGTTTCTGGAATTTGTAAGAAACATCCAACTCTTGGTTGGTCAACCTTGATGGGTGGTCTTCATCTGAAAACTTTTTCCAAGCATCCTTCTAAAAAAGGCACAACCCAAGTTTTAGGAATCCTTCCTCAAAAGACTCTGGTACCTATCTTACAGCTTCACTATGTCAAACAAAAAACATTTCTGTAAGGACCCACCCCACTTTGCATCTTAAGAAGACAGAACTCTTGGAATAGTTCTTCCAACAGGAATCCTTTATTAAGAGAAAATGGTTGCAGGCATGCTAGACAGGACTTGGGGTTCAAGCTCTCCCATTCAAGGTTTTAAGGGGTTCCCCAGTAGTCCCACCCAATCAACCCCCCTTCCAGTGATAGTTTCAAGTATCACAATTCCATCCCCTTTCTTCTTCCGTCTGGATGGAGACTTCAGATAACTACATGAAAGGCAATTACTCTTCTTTGATATGTTAAAGCTTAGAGGCCACAATAAACACACATTCAGTCCTTTGAAGTGTGCTGAAGGAAGTGAGGGCCATAAAGCCCCTTTGCTCTCCCCCTTTTCTCCCTCTTATGGCAGAATCCAGAGAAGGCAGAATTGGGAGTTTCTATGTTTGATAATTAAAGATGAAATATAATTGGATTCTGACATCCGGCCCCTCTTAACAATAAGAGAGATCCACCTGAAAGAAAACACAAGTAAAAAATTTAGTTAGGCTTGTTAGGATACTCTGTGTGAAACTTCTTCAATAGCTTCGGGGCTCTGACGTGACGTTTATGGACCCACTCATTTTGTGAGGCAGGGAGGTGTTTCCAGGCAACTAGGTACTGAGTTGTTCCACGATATCTCCTAGAGTCAAGGATCTCTTTTATTTCGAAGTGTTGTTCCCCCTCCACCATGATTGGAGGTGGTGGGGGGGGGATTTTTGGCCGTAGAGGTGACTGATGCTCTCTTTTCAGCAAGCTGCAATGAAAAATTGGGTGTATTTGCCTGAGGTTTTTGGGTAATTCTAATTCTACTGTTACTGGATTTATGATCCTTTTAATTGGAAAAGGTCCTATATATTTTGGTCCAAGTTTTTTACAGGGCTGTAGGGACTTTAGGTATTTTGTAGATAAGTACACCATTTCTCCTATAATGAATGGTGTAGGCTCAACCCTTTTTTTATCGGCTTGTGCTTTGTATGCCCGCCTAGCTTCATCTAGTGATTTTCTGACTATTGGCCAGGTGTTTTGTAGGCTTTCCATCCATTCTTTCAGTGAAGGGATCGTTGGTTCTTTTGGGGTCAACTCTGGCATAGGGTTGAAACTTTGGCCGTTGGCTATTTGAAAAGGAGTGTAGCCTGTGCTGGAGTGGACTGCATTATTGTAGGCAACTTCTGCAAAAGGAAGTAAGTCCGTCCAATCACTCTGTTGGAAATTTAAAAAACATCTCAAATATTGCTCAAGTACCGACTGGCAGCGTTCCGCTTGTCCATCTGTCTGAGGGTGATGGCTAGATGTCAGTCCCTGAGTGGTCCCTAAGAGGGATAAAAATTCCTTCCAAAATGTAGACGTAAATTGCACTCCCCTATCAGAGATGATGCGTTGGGGTGCCCCGTGCAATCTGTAAATGTGCTGGATAAAAAGTTTTGCTAAGGCCTTTGCAGTGGGAATTTTTTGGCAAGGGATAAAGTGCACCTGTTTGGAAAATAGGTCCGTGACTGTCCAGATAACAGTATTCCCATTGCTTTCAGGCAATTCCACTATAAAATCCATGGCTATTTCCCTCCAGGGGGCTGAGGGACTTGCCACTGGTTGTAACAGCCCTGGCGATTTCCCTTGCAACCTCTTTGCTGATGCACAGGTTGGGCAGCTGGCAACATAACTTTCTATGTCCTTTTTTATTGATGGCCACCAAAATTGCCGTTTAATTAAGTGTAAAGTTTTTACAAATCCAAAATGCCCTGCTGATTTTGTGTCATGGCAAAGTTGCATGAAAGTTAGTCTTTGAGTTGTTGGTATATATAACTTTTCCCCTACCCAAGGCAATCCGTCTCTCATTGTGCACACATGTTTGTTTTTCTGGAACCAATCATCTGTTTCCAAACTTTTTCTGAATTCAATCCCAGTTTGGCTGTCCAGTTGTGGTTTTATTTTGGCTTGGGTTCTTGTGGTTACTGGCGCTGCCAGTTGTGATTCTGCCATTATTGGTCTAGAGTCTGTGGTTCGTGCGCTGTTATATTGGGGCATGCGAGATAGTGCATCTGCCAGGAAGTTCTTTCTTCCTGGTAAATGTTTGAGCTTAAATTGGAATTGGTGAAAATGCTGGGACCAGCGGGCTTGTTTGGGATTGAGTTTCCTGGAAGTTTTCAGGGCTTCTAAATTTTTGTGATCAGTCCATACCTGGAAGGGGATTTTGTTGCCTTCCAGGAACTGTCGCCACGTGAGTAATGCCCAACGTATCCCATAAGCCTCCTTCTCCCATACGGGCCAGCGCTGTTCTGTTTCCGTGAGTTTCTTAGATGTATATGCACAGGGTTGCAATACTGCATCATCATTTTCTTGTAATAGCACAGCCCCCACTGCCACATCACTTGCATCTGCCTGTATTATGAAGGGCTTGTCCATATCTGGGTGCCTTAGTACTGGTTCGGCAGAAAAAAGTCTCTTTAGTCTCTCAAACGCTGCTTGGCACTCCATTGTCCATGTTAGTGGCTGGCTAGGTTTTACTGAGGATGTTCCCTTCGTTTTTAGTAAGTTAGTGAGGGGCAAGGCTATCTGTGCAAATGAGGGGATGAATTGGCGGTAAAAATTTGCAAAGCCCAGGAAACTTTGTAGTTGCTTTCTTGTGCGGGGTGGTGCCCATTCTAATACTGCTCTGACCTTCTCTGGGTCCATTTCAATGCCCTGTGGGGATATGCGATAGCCTAGGTAGTCTATCCTTTCCTGGTGGAATTCGCATTTTGAGAGTTTGGCATATAGGTGAGCGGCTCGCAGCTTCTTTAAAACCGCTCTGACAAGTTTGACGTGTTCTTCTTTTGTTTCGGTAAAGATAAGAATGTCGTCCAAGTAAACAAGGACCCCCTTAAACAGGTGCTCCCTTAGAACGTCATTGATTAATTGCATAAAGACTGCAGGGCCCCCTTGTAATCCAAATGGCAAGACTTTGAATTGATAGCACCCCATGGGGCAGTTAAATGCAGTCTTCCATTCGTCCCCTTCCTTGATTCTCACGCGATAGTAAGCTTCCCTTAAGTCTAGTTTAGAAAAAATTTTCCCTTTCGATAGGTGTGACAGCATGTCTTTCATGAGGGGCAGCGGGTATAGGTTGCTTTCACTGATTGTGTTCAGGGCCCTATAATCCACGCATAAACGTAAAGAGCCATCCTTCTTCTCTCTAAAAAGGACCGGGGCAGCCACTTTAGGCTTAGCTGGTTCAATGAAACCTCTCTCCAGGTTTTTTTTTAATAAATCTTTCCATTTCCTCCTTCTCCTTTGGGCTCATGGAGTATAATCTGGGTTTCGGGAGTTTTGCCCCAGGCTTGAATTCAATGGTACAGTCTGTGGGTCGGTGGGGGGGAAGCTCATTCGCCCTCTCCTCACTGAAGACTTCAGCAAGGTCCCTATATTCCTCTGGTATTTCTGTTAATCTTTTTTCCTCTCCTATGGATGCTTTTTCTATTCTTGATTCTGGTAGCCTCTCTTGGGGTTTTAAGTCCATAGGGTCCCCCTTCGGGAATTTGATTTCTGTCGTCCTCCAATTTACCCAGGGGTTCCATTTTTTCAACCATTCCATCCCTAGAATCATTGGGCATTCCATACCTGGGGTCACCACAAACGTTAAGTCCTCTTCATGGTTGCCCAGGGAGAGGTGTATTGGCAGAGTGGCTAGGGTAGCTGGCACCCCCCCTGCTATGGATCCATCTAGCTGGCCAAATGAGATTGGTTGTTCCAGTCTCCTGGATGGGATGCCCAGATTCCCCACTAGTGTTGGGCTAATGAGGCAGCGGGTGCAGCCAGAGTCTATTAAGGCTTTCACCTTCACAGCTTCGGGCATGGGGGGGATTAATATAGTCACTGTTTTGAAGATGGGTGTGATGCGTCCACTTACCAGGGGTTCGCCTTCCGAGCTGTCATCTGAGGCATCCACCGTCCCTGTGGTGTAGGCTGGAGTTCTTTCCCCTTGGTGAGCAGAGGTGGGGTTTTCTGCAATTTCCATCATTTTCATGGCTGTTTCTTTTGGCTTAGCTGAATACCCTCTGGGTTTGTTGATTGGGGATCTGTCTGGGTTGTGCTGGGGGGCCTTTGAGCGGCATTCTACAGCTCGATGCCCTTCTCTTCCGCACTTGAAACACCCCATCTGCTTCTTGGCTGTATCCGATGATTTCACCGGTTGGTGTGTCAGCTCAGGCGGGGGGCGGCTCCATTGTTTTCCTCGGCGATGCCTCTTCAATATGTCGATCTCTGCTTCCTCTGCCAAGACGTACCATTCCTCAAGTCGATGTGGGTCTCCTCGGGGCAGGCAAGCATCATATAGATCATAGTTTAGTCCGTCTTTGAAACGGCCAAGGAGGATGTCTTCTGGCCAATTCAGTTTGCTGGCAATGGCTCGGAATTCTTGTGTATACTCAGCCACTGGGCGTTTGCCCTGCCTCATCGTTGTTATTCTTTCACGGGCTTTGCGATCAGCCAGGGGGTCTTCAAATCGTCTTCTCAAAGAGGACATGAAACGGTTGAAGTTACTGAGTTCTGGGGCATTGGAGTCATGCAGGTTCACCACCCAATCTGCAGCTGGTCCATCCAGGGCAGATTGCACGATCCGGATGCGGGCTTTGTCGCTGGGGATGTCCTGCCCATATTCCTCCATGTAGCTGAGGACTTGGGTTAGGAAAAACCCCAAGCGTGTTGGCTCCCCTTTGAATTTCACCTCCAACGGTGGACGTCTTGGAATGGATCGGTGCCTCCATTGTGGGTGGTAGTGTCTTCCGTCCAGATTTCCATCTTGGGTCCGGTAGGGGGTGGGAGCTCCTGGATCAGTAAATGTCCCTGGGGTTGCAGGTTCCACGTCCCCCTCGGTGTCTCTCCCTTTGTGGCTCCAGGAACTGGGGCGGGCGTAGGGCTCAGGAATCTCCTCTCCTAGGGAGCTGAGAGTTCTCTTCATCAGGTCAATAGCTCTCTCTAGGATCCAGTCTGAGTACGGCATACAGCTTCCTCCCTCTTCACTTGCGTGCAGGGATTTCTCCATCTCCTGCTTCCATTCTGGTTGCTTGGTCCCCCGTCTCAGGGTCACTTTTCTTGATTCCTTTCCCCACTCGCTTTTCTTTCCAACGCCCATCGACCAGCGAGGCTTGTGGTCCTGTGTCTCCACCACTTCTTCTTCTGAGAAATCTGGCCTCTCGGATCCCAACATCTGGCAAGGTTCCAACTGGGTCAGCGGCTCTCCTTCCAGGGAGTTTTCTCCCTCTCTTGCTTCGTTGTCTGACATGGTAAATTTTTGCAAAATCCCCCGGCAAGGGTCTACCTTCCAGGTGGATTAATTTTGCAAGTCCTGTCTAATGTAAGGACCCACCCCACTTTGCATCTTAAGAAGACAGAACTCTTGGAATAGTCTTCCAACAGGAATCCTTTATTAAGAGAAAATGGTTGCAGGCATGCTAGACAGGACTTGGGGTTCAAGCTCTCCCATTCAAGGTTTTAAGGGGTTCCCCAGTAGTCCCACCCAATCAACCCCCCTTCCAGTGATAGTTTCAAGTATCACAATTCCATCCCCTTTCTTCTTCCGTCTGGATGGAGACTTCAGATAACTACATGAAAGGCAATTACTCTTCTTTGATATGTTAAAGCTTAGAGGCCACAATAAACACACATTCAGTCCTTTGAAGTGTGCTGAAGGAAGTGAGGGCCATAAAGCCCCTTTGCTCTCCCCCTTTTCTCCCTCTTATGGCAGAATCCAGAGAAGGCAGAATTGGGAGTTTCTATGTTTGATAATTAAAGATGAAATATAATTGGATTCTGACAATTTCATTTGCTCAAGCATTTTAAAAACTGTTAGAAGTTCACAGCATTTTATTGCCAATGATTTTTTCTCGGTTACTGTATGGTGGGATTTTTTTAATTGGGTTTTATATTGTTTTATTGTTTATTCCACTCAGTGGACTGTATTTATTACAGAGCAATTAATTAATTCCATTGGCAAAGGCAAAGGGCATCAGCTTCCTAAATCCTGTCAAGCAATATTTCAAATAATTTACTGATCCTCTGTTTTCATCCACCTGTTTAATATACATTTATATCTCACTTTTCCACCAAAAAGTGGTACTCTTTCTTTGTTTTATCCTAACTTCTCTATAAGATAAATTCGCTTTAAAGAATTGATTCTCTGTCCTCCTTAGGGATAGACTAAAAGCCTGACATGTTTAATTGAATTACAATATGCTTTTCCAGGTTTTCGCGGGTGTTTGTATGTAGGTCTTTGGTTATTCGGGTTTTTCCCCGCATCAAATTGGAAATATCTTAGCGACGTTTTGATGAAGTCTCATTCGTCATCTTCAGGCTGGTGTTTTTGGCTTCGTGCTTCTAGGAGCTTGAAGCCGAAAACACCAGCCTGAAGATGACGAATGAGACTTTGTCGAAACGTCACCAAGACACTTCCAATTTGACGCGGGAGAAAACCCAAATAACCAAAGATCTACATATACATACATATACATACATATATACATACATATATACATATACACACACATACATACACACACACATATACATACACACACACACACACACACAGCATCACATGTATAAACATACATAATTTAATTCTGGCTAATTTAAAAATATTTTCATATCAGAGAAGACTTCAACTCTTGGAAATCCTCAGCCATAAATGCTATTGATGGACTAGTGGATTATGTACCATCAAGTCAGCATCTACTCTAAGCAATCACATGGGTAGATGTTCTTTCAGATGGTCTGCCCCAACCTGGTCCTTCAGTTCATCCAGAAGTGTAGTCATTGCCACTGTAATTGAGTCCATCTACCTTACTGATGAACATCCTCTTCTCTCCCCTTCTACCTTTCCCAATATTATAAACTTCTTAAGGGAGTTAGAGCTTTACATAATGTGTCCAAAATATGAAAATTTGAATCTGGTTATTTGTATTTTGAGTGAGAAGTCTTGAACAGATTTGTTCTGTGATATATCTATTGCTTATTTTCTTGGCTCTGCATTATATTCTCAAGGAGTGTTATCCAACGTCAAAGATCCAAAGCTGCTTCTTCAAAGTCCAACTTTAACTTCTATAAGGTGTCACAAGGAAGCCCACTGCTTGCATAATCTGATGTTTGTAAATATTGGCTCATTAAGACATCAGAGCATCTTTTTCAAGGTCTTCATTGCTATCATTCCAGCTGCTAATTTGCAGCATATTATTTCTTGACCTAAGTACTAAATTATATTAAACCAGCAGTAAGCTACCTTGAGAAGATTGTTCTCCCTTTCCTTCAATTCAAACTGCATTTTGCCAAGATTTCTGAGAGAATTCAGGAGCCCAAATCCATGAGCTGTGGTGGTGCAGTGGTTAGAATGCAGTATTGCAGGCTGACTCTGCATTACACCATCAGGAGTTCGATCCTGACCAGCTCAAAGTTAACTCAGCCTTCTGTCCTCCTGAGATCAATAAAATGAGGACTCAGATTGTTGGGGACAACATACTGACTCTGTAAATCACTTAGAGAGTGCTGAAAGCACTATGAAGTGGCATATAAGTCTACGTGCTATTGTATATTAGCTTAGCATTAAATTCTCAAAATCTCTTAAGAGTAAAAGAAAGTCAAATCTCCCATTTTCTCTTTCCCAGAGAGTCTTTCTCACCCATTGGAGAGTGCATAAGTCTGCCATGACTCCACAGTTCGGGCTGTGTGCTCCAGAGACCATAGCCGGTAGAACAGCATCATGTTGAGGATGACCAGAACTAAGAGACTACAGAGAAACACAAACACGTTGGTAACATGAAGGACTCGTTCAGACCAAGGAGGCACTCAACTCTAGCTAGAATGTGGTAGGATTTAAATGACCAAAAATTCCTCCATAATTCAGAAGCACTTTGGGGGATTCTGTAAAGAGTCAGAATCAGAATGGATACTCAGTGGGAATGACCCCTTCAAGATCGTGATTAAAATGATGCCTGATAATCATTAAAATGGGATTAAAATGCCCTGATAATCTTTTTTTACAATTTCCCAAGAGTAACAATATAGTCAAATAGCATCCCTAAACACAGCCTTCAAAGTTTGCCTTAATCCTGCAGTGATCTATTTGGTTTGGCTTTGAATGGGGTTAAACCAGCCTTTATAACTGAAATAAACCCCCGGCTTAATGCAGGGTGTGAACTGGGTCTTTAAATCACCAAGCTAGTGACCACAATGGTCGTAGAGGAAACACATCAATGCATCTGGATCAACAGAGGAGGGAGAGAAGCAACATCATGCACGCCATGCTGTCGTTGTGCAGTAGATATGAATTTCATAATTTGCACAACATCATTGGGGCTTATATCGGGCATTCATGCATTGATAGTGCTGCCGGTGGAAAAGATGATCTCAGCCTGAGCTAATGAAGGGGTCTGTGCAGGCAGACTAACTCCCAGAGATAGTCTTACTATTTTTGCATAGGCAATCACATTAACCTTGGAGACAAAATCCATCTTCCTTTCAGTGGCTGGCCTTGTAAGCTTTAAAAATGTATAGGCTGAAATATAAGAAGCCCTAGGAATAAAGATAGATAGGGAGAAAGTTAGCTCCCCCCCCACTCCCGCCATTTGCAGGACAGAACAGGGATGTAAGAGCAACTGATAAGTTTAATGAGGTGAACAAGAATCATGTAAAACAGATTCTGGCTAAGGGTTCGGGTCACTGTTCCCCCCCCCCGTTTCCTGTTTAATCTGGTGGGGATCACAGTTTAGGATTGGGGTGAGGGATAAGAGACATAGTAAGCAGAGTGCAGTCGGAGGTGGGTGGGTGGGCTGGCTAATAGTGGAAGACATCATGGAAGTGACTGCCAGGTGGCTCAGGCAGAGGATTGAAATGGCAGGAATCATGAAGGCCAATCAAGAAACCAGAACCAAGCCAGGATGAAGAAGCCACTTGGGACTGGGAATGAAAGAAAGAAAGAAGGAAGGCAGGGTGGAAGCTGCAGGTTTTCAAAGCAGGAAGGCATGGCAGGATGGGGTCAGGTGAGGGGCACAGGGATGTTCAAGGCAGTAGCCACATTGCCAGAGCTGGAGGGCTGTTGGTATACAATACCTCACACAGATCCTGTGCGGAGGCGAGAAAGAAGAAGAGAAGAGAAGAGAGAGGAAGGAAGAAAAGAAACAAGAGAAAGAAAAAGAAAAAAAGGAAGGAAGAAAGAAAGAAAGAGATGAAGCTTTGTTCCTGCATTCTCTCATCAATAAAAAAAAGAAAAGGAAAAAAATATCCAGCATAGATGCTGCCACACCAGACCTTCCCAAACTCTACAAATAAAGTTGCTAATTTAGCCGGAAATTAAGTTAGTTAAACTAGAAACCTTTTCATTCAATTATGTTTTATGGCATGTTAACTGTTGGGAGCTGCCCAAAGTCATGAATTTGAATTTTTTTTGAGGGGGGGAGGCAGATAAATTGAAATAATCAATAAACCAACCCACCTTGAGAAAAGAAGCAGGGTTAGGGATCTTGGGAAGATAGCGGTACACTTTAAACACGAGCCAGCATAATTTTTTTATGTATTAGTGACTAGTGGCTTTCCAACCAGCCTTGACAGTTTTGGGGCTTGACTTTTTCCCCCCTTTTGCTACAACCCACCTAGCAATGGGGCAACAAGGTCATTTCAGTTTGGGGAGCAGAGAGGGGAACCTTGTTTTGATGGTCATGCAAGTTACTTTATTACTTTATTTATTTTCAGCCAGCCTTGCTGTCCTTGAGGCAACCCTGTCCATTAAGCAGAATTCCAGGCTCCACTAAAACCCCATTCTGATGGCATCATGGGTGTTCCAGGATAAAGCCAGCCCTGTTCCCGGCTTCAGTGGACTGGATTCTTTCTTGGCTTCCTAAGTACAGTAAGCTGTAACCCTATGAAAGTTGTGACCTTGTGTAGATTCTGGTGTGTATACATATAAGTTTGCAAATAGAAAACTCATATACAGAACTCTAGAAAAGCCTTCCCTGAGAAAGGGCCTCCAGATGTGTTGGACTGTTATCCAGAGCCAGCTCTGCTATGGGCTGGCTGGACAAGTTGAAAGTTGCAGTCTGCCTCTACAGAACATCAAGTTTGAAAAGGCTGGTCTAGATCAGCCTCCCAGATAAATGGAGTTCAGTTCCACAGCCAATTCAACCACTATTGAGAACTTTGGGAATTGAAGTGAATGCACTTGCAGGAGATCAGAATGGGGGAAGTTCTCTAGATGCTCTCCAAACACAGCCCCACCTCCCCCCAAAGCAGCTTCCTTACACCAGACTGATGACAAGGATCACGGTGGAGACGGTCTGTCCCTGTCCTGGCTCCAGGAGTTGTTCTGAAAGACGTGAGGTCAGGCTGCCTACAGAACAGAAGACGAACAGGTCAAGGACTTAAACGAAAGGAACTTGAAGTGCTCCAGGCATTATTGAACTGCAACTTCATGTAGCCTCATTTAGTCTCATTCCTAATGCTGAAGGATTTTGGTAGCTCATTAATGTCTAAAGCAGAGGTCCCCAACCCCCGATCCGTGGACTGGTACCGGGCCGCGGCATGCCAGCAACCGGTCCACACAAACAAGCAAAGCCCCGTCCGCGGGATGCAGGCAACAGACAAAACCACACCCCTCTGGTCCGCGGAAAAACCTCTCTCCACCAGTCCTTGGTGCCCAAAAGGTTGGGGACCTCTGGTCCAAAGGATCACAGATTCCCTGTATATCACAGAAGGATAAGGAATTAGATCATTCTTAACAAGGGGGCATACCTGAAGGGCGAACAGTTCGCGATGCACCTTCACTATCGGGTAGTGTGGGCATTGGGGCTTCAACATGGGGAGCTCTCCAGCTCAGGGTCCGTTTCCTGCGACGCAATCCAGACATGAGACCCCGGGGTTCTTTGCCATGGCAGCTGTCCTCTAGCAGAGCCTTTTCTGCTTGCACCAGTGCCAGTTCTGAAACAGCGTTTGACCACAGAGGTGTAGATGTTGGAGGGCTGAGTTCATGCCTAAAATCACGATCCTGATAGAGGGGCATCTCTCCTTTTCCCAAACATCTACACTTTTGCCTCATTCTGCACATGACTACAGGGGAATATCTCAGATAACTTCAGAACTACCTATTCTCTAAAAACCTCTACTGGGAGAAGTTGATGAACACTTTATAAAGCCCTAGTAAGAGCACACTTCGAATACCGCAGCCAATTTTGGTCACCATATCACAAAAAAGACGTTGAGAGTCTGGAAAAAATTCAGAGAAAAGCAACTAAGATGATCAAAGGCCTGGACACTAAAACATATGAAGAACGGCTGCGGGACTTGGCTAGTCTAAAGAAAAGAAGAAATAGGGGAGACATGATAGCAGTGTTACAGTATCTGAGGGGCTGCCACAAGGCAGTGGGGGCGAAGTTGTTCACCAGAGCACCAGAGGAAAGGACGAGAAGCAATGGTTGGAAACTGATCAGGGAGAGAAGCAACCTAGAACTAAGGAGAAATTTCCTGACAGTGAGGACAATCAACCAGTGGGACAGGTTGCCTCCAGAAATCGTGGGCGCTCCATCACTGGAGATTTTTAAAAAGAGACTGGACAATCACCTGTCTGAGATGGTATAGGTCCTCCTACCTGAGCAGGGGGCTGGACTAGAAAACCTCCAAGATCCCTTCCAGCTCTATTCCTATTCTATTCCATTCCATTCCATTCCATTCCATTCTATTCTATTATCTTCACAATGGGAAGAGAAGAGGGAACCCAACCCCAGACTGTGTCATATTTGTTCCAAAGCACAGGTTCTGCACTGTAGCTTGTCTCCCTGATTCACTTACCCAAATGCTGGAAGTATTCTTCAACACCGCTCCATGCATTTTTTTCAATGAAAGTCTTCACAAGGGTCCATGGCTGCTTCCGATACCGGATTTCAGAGGAGACTCTGTAATGGAGAACAACTGTTACAGATGAGCCAAAGAACCTTTCTGTTTCTCTCATGGAATGCTGGGAAACCTGACAAGAAACCCCTTTGGCAAAGAATGGAATACTTCGCATGGCTTGCAACAAAAAGGAACTCTGGTGTCATATAATCTTTCCTATAGCTATCTCACCTTTTTCCCATTTCATCTGCAGTTACAAGATCAGGTGTTCCCCAAGGAGATCAGAGGCTCAGTAACCTTTTCGTTTTCAGAACCGGGAAGGTGAGGATATCAGTCATGCTTTGTGGCTGAACGCTGCATGTAAAATGACCCGACGATGCCCACAGTCATGCATTTAGATTACAGTCTCTACCTCAATATGAACTCTGAGCTGCAAACTTTGAATTGGCTGGCTTAATTTGGTTTGGTTTGCTTCTTCCCCATTTTGATTGAATAACAGAATAACGGAAGGGACCTTGAAAGTCTTCTAGTCTAGTCTAAGCCACTGCTCAGGCAGGAAACCCTATGCCATTTCAGACAAATGGCTGTCCACTCTCTTCTTAAAAACTTCCAGTATTGGAGCATTCACCGCTTCTGGAGGCAGGTTGTTCCACTGGTTAATTGTTCTAACTGTCAGGAAGTTTCTCCTTAGTTCTAAGTTGCTTCTCTCCTTGATTAGTCTCCATCCTTTGCTTCTTGTCCTGCCTCTCCTTTGTGGCAGCCCCTTAGATATGGAAAGACTTCTATCATGTCTCCCCTAGTCCTTCTTTTCATGCAGCATTGATTGATGTAGCATTATACCCAAGCAAGAGTTTTAGAGAATTTGAACTTTTTTCACATCTTTGTCTAATGAATGCATTGTCCTGCTACTGATTTAGTTTAGACTACATGGCATCAAGAGGGTTCTCTAATGCTTTTGCTCCCATTCTAGCGCAAGTGAACTATGCATCCAGAGAAAAGGGATTTGTGAGCTGATCTCCTCCTTGGCCTGGTATGGTTTTGATATATTAATCAGATTCAAAACAAAAAAAAAAAGCAACCAAAATGCAACCAGGAGTCACTTGTGGAGATGGGTAGCAGTGCAAATTAATTGACTGATTCATTGAACGGAAGAAAGAATGAATGAACTCCTAACAAAGAGGGATGAATCATAAGCCATATTCTATGTAGTGATGCAATGACACGATTCACTCGTTTGTATCAGTTGTCATGATACAAAATATAAGTTGCATGCTGACTTGTTAACATAGGATTCACTGAACAGCTAAAACTACATTACCCATAAGCCATCTCTTAAGGAGACAGCGTTTAACCCTACAAATGCCAAACATTCTAACATACAGATCTATATGCTCTGGTCAGAGTTATATTGATCCAGCTGAGGAATTCTGGGAGTTGAAGTCCACAAGTCATAAAAGGACCAAATTTGAAGATCCCTGCTCTAGAACATCAGGACACATGTCAAGATTTTGATGAACCTGAAGCTTATTATGGCTGCCACTGGCCGCCCTGTTTCTTCCTCAGGAATTTCCACTCTGTTTTAGACTTCTCTAACCTAACACCCTGTTTGCCAACTGTACGGATGCAGAAGGGAGTGATCCAAGAGTAAATACCTGAGCCTGGCCTTGCTTTTGGCTACGGTGGTGATGCAGTACCGATGCACAGTGTAGAAGTAATCCTGGTAAGGGATACCCTGAGTGACCACTTCTGAGTCCACTACACAGCCTCCATTCTTGGAACTGGCACGGAAAAGAGTCTAGCGCCCAGCAGGCAAAGAGGAAGAGAAAAGCATGATAAACTCAGACATTCAGTTTTTAATGGCCATTCTTGGTCAATGCTATGCCTTTACCCATGCCCCTCAGTGTGTTCAGGTAACAGTCTGAAGGAAGCAGTGGCTTAAAAGTTAGCACAGGTAATCTTCAACTTATGACCACAACTGAGCCCAACATTTCTGTTGTTAAGTGAAACATCTGTTAAGTGAATTTTGCCCCATTTCATGACTATTCCTGCCAAAGTTTTTCAGTGAATCACCACAGCTGATAAGTTAGTAATATGGTTGTGAAGTGAATCTGGTTCCTTTGCTTGTCAGAAGGTCACAAAAGGGGATCACAAGATCCTGGGATACTGCAACCGTCATAAATATGAGTCAGTTGTCAAGCATCCGAATCACCTGGTCATGGGGATCTGCAACAGTTGTAAGTGTGTGAAAAATGGGTCATTAGTCGCTTTTTTCAAGTGCCTGTGTAACTTTGAATGATCACTAAATGATTTGTTGTAAGTCAAGGACTATCTTTACCGGGCCAGCCAATGGATCAAAATACCATGACCTTATAATAATAATAATAATAATAATAATAATAATAATAATAATAATAATCTACAAATAGAAATAGAAAGACTGTGGCAAAAGCAAGCAAGGGTAGTACCAATAGTAATAGGCTCCTTGGGTGCAATCCCAAAACAACTGGAGCACCACTTGAACACCATTGGCATTGACAAATTCGCTATTAGTCAATTGCAAAAGGCGGCCTTATTAGGAACTGCTTCCATCCTGCGACGATACCTGTAATACCATCAAACATCCACATCTGCCTATCCCAGGTCCTGGGTAAGGACTCGATAGGTAGACAAAATGCCAAATCCAGTCTGAACATCTGGCTGACTGTGCGATGATCCATAATAATAATAATAATAATAATATCCTGTGACGATACCTGCAATACCATCAAACATCCGCATCTGCCTATCCCAGGTCCTGGGTAAGGACTCGATAGGTAGACAAAATGCCAAATCCAGGCTGAACATCTGGCTGACTGTGCGATGATCCATAATAATAATAATAATGTTGGAAGGGACCTTGGAGGTCATCTAGTCCAGCCCCCTGCTCAGGCAGGAAACCTTATACCATTTTGGACAAATGGCTGTCCAGTCTCTTCTTAAAAACTTCCAGTGTTGGAGCATTCACAACTTTTGGAGGCAAGTTGTTCCGCTGATTAATTGTTCTATCAGGAACTTTCTCCTAAGTTCTAGATTGTTTCTCTCCTTGATTAGTTTCCATCTGTTGCTTCTTGTCCTGCCTTCAGGTGCTTTGGAGAATAGCTTGGCTCTCTTTTCTTTGTGGCAACCCCTGAGATATTGGAAGACTGCTATCATGTCCCCCCTCATCCTTCTCTTCATTAAACTAGACATACCCAATTCCAGCAGCCTTTCCTTATATGCTTTGGCTTCCAGTCCCCTAATCATCTTTGTTGCTCTTCTCTGTACTCGTTCTAGAGTCTCAGCATCTTTTTTACATCGTGGTGACCAAAACTGGATGCAGTATTGCAAGTGTGGTCTTACCAAGGCATTATAAAGTGATATTAATACTTCACGTGATCTTGATTCTATCCCTCTGTTAATGCAGGCTAACACTGTGTTGGCTTTTTTGGCAGCTGCAGCACACTGCTGTCTGTCCCTCTTCATATTTTTAGGAACCCGGTTTCCATACCTGGGTCTCTACCACCGGTGCAACCTTGGGGCCCAAAGGGTTACTGATAGGGATGGTGTAGGTAATGACGCGGCTTTGGTGACACTTGCTGTCTCCGCTCCATGAACTCAGTGCAACATCTAGGAAGAGGGAGAAAGAAAAGTTGGGGACAGGGTAAGAAAACCAAGTGGCAATTGAAATATTATCAGGATAATATTTTTAAAAAATGGTACGGTAAAGTCTTAGTTGATAAACACATTTAGTGAGCTTTGGATACAGTGAACACATGTTCTGTTCAAACTCTACATTCTTTTTTAATGGAAGTTAGTTCATTGAGTCAAGGTTTTACTGCAGCCCACACAATTTACATCATGTATGTAATTACGCAAATGACAAAAGCAGGCACAGATTTGAATTTAATGGACACCCGTTATCTTTGAAGGTTGCAAGGCTTTAGTATAAATGGCTTCCAGCAAAAAAAAAAAAATGCACATAAAAATCAGGCAGGACTCAATGTTTCAAAGGGTTGCTACCTGTTATAAATGCCCAGGGAACAGCCAGTTTAACTGAGGTCTTTTGCTCTGCTGAGGAACTATGATCCATTCTCACAACCATTAACTTTGAACTGAAAATGAAAGGGATCATAAGACTGAAAAGATGAATTCAACTGTGGGCAATCTATGGCTTGTGAGGGGTCTCCCAGCACCCCTTTTGCAGTTGTTGGAGCCCTCTAGGATTGGGGGAGGGGATTTAAGCCTGGGGATTTGGCTTGCTGTGAGGGAAGATTTTGAGGGAAAATGGTTGCCCTGTTTGCATCTTAACTCACCCAATATAGTGAAAAGGACCAAAATGTTTGCCCATGTCCTATCTGGAAATATTATATTATAACATCATCAGTCACACTTGCTGTAACCTTCACGGGAGTTAGATATGATGGATAAGGATATGGATATAGATATATGGATCCAGATATTTAAAAAGTTGACTTAAATCTGGGATGGGCAATATCTCCCAAGGTGGAGCCTACCAAAAGTAGGAGCAACAGACAACAGCCATGCCAGGAGCAGTTCCAAAATTGGTTGACAGCTGCTTAAAAGTGAAAACAATAATTTCCAGCACAATTCTAGGATCTGTTCTGTAAGACTGATTGAGCTGGATGGACATAAAAGAATTCCAGCGGCTGAACTATTTCCTCTTTGAAACCAATTTTCCTCCATGGACATTCAGGTGAAGATTCTCAGTCATCCAGGTCATGGTTGTCCCAAAGGTGCTTTTTCAAAAGGCAACTGGACTTTCTTTGTTTTTGTTTTTTTCTTGAAGACGTTTCGCTTTTCATCCAAAAAACTTCTTCAGTTCAATTCAGAGCTGAAGAAGCTTCTTGGATGAGAAGCAAAATGTCTTCAAGCAAAACAAACAAAGTCCAGTTGTCTTTCAAAAAATAGCACCTTTGGAACGTTCAAGTGAAGACTTTTAGATTTTCTTTCCAAGAGACTATGGATTAGGCTTTTTAGTATGACTGGCAAGGAGGAAGGTCATGTCTCTCTCAGTCAAGGAAGTTTGTAGTTGGCTGTTTATTCAAAAGCCTCCCAAATATTTATTCGATACATCAGCTGGAGACCAGGTTATGGAAGTCTAAGTTAATCCATTAAAATAGATAGAAAACAGCAGTGTCCTTCGTTTTTTGCCATGTCAACTCCTGCCTGAACTTTGCTCCCGAATGTCCACTGAGGATATCATTTGAAACAGTTTCTTCGCCCTCCTTACCTGTGAACTTGCGTTGATCCAAAAAGCTGTGTATGAACTGGGAGTCGCTGAAAAGCATTTGCTGCAGCCTCTCAGCACCAACATGATACACGGCGTTGATCAGGAGCCGCCCTGGCAAGTCTCTGAAGAAGGCTTCCACTTCAGCTGGAGAAAGGAGAATGAGAGATGTCGGATTAGATCTCCTAATCCAGTGGTGGCGAACCTATGACATGGGTGCCAGAGGCGGCACTCAGAGCCCTCTCTGCGGGCATGCACACCGTCGCCCCAGTCCTAGGTCTTCAGCTGGGTTTTATAAAACTTTTTCGCTTTAGGCCTCTGCCGCCATGTGCAAAGAAAAAAGAAAAAAAGGTTCAATCAGTCAATTTCAACTTCTTTTGGGGGAAAAAAAAGATCTTGCAGATTTGGATGAAGGGATAGATGGGGAACTCATCAAATTTGCAGACGACACCAAGCTGGCAGGAATAGCCAACACTCCAGAAGACAGGCTTAAGATACAGAAGAATCTGGACAGACTTGAACACTGGGCACTAACTAACAAAATGAAATTCAATGGTGAAAAAAGCAAGGTTCTACATTTAGGCAAGAAAAACCAAATGCACAAGTACAGCATAGGTGGCACCTTGCTCAATAGTAGTAACTGTGAGAGGGACCTCGGAGTCCTAGTAGACAATCACCTAAATATGAGCCAGCATTGTGCTGCAGCTGCCAAAAAGGCCAACACAGTGCTAGGCTGCATTAACAGAGGGATAGAATCAAGATCACGTGAAGTATTAATACCACTCTTCAATGCCTTGGTAATGCCACACTTGGAATACTGCATCCAGTTTTGGTCACCACGATGTAAAAAAGATGTTGAGACTCTAGAAAGAGTACAGAGAAGAGCAACAAAGATGATTAGGGGACTGGAGGCTAAAACATATAAGGAATGGTTGCTAGAATTGGTTATGTCTAGTTTAACGAAGAGAAGGACAAGGGGGGACATGATAGCAGTATTCCAATATCTCAGGGGCTGCCATAAAGAAGAGGGAATCAAGCTATTTTCCAAAGCTCCTGAAGGCAGGACAAGAAGCAATGGGTGGAAACTAATCAAGGAGAGAAGCAACCTAGAACTAAGGAGAAACTTCCTGACAGTGAGAACAATTAATCAGTGGAACAGCTTGCCTCCAGAAGCAGTAATTGCTCCAACACTGGAAGTTTTTAAGAAGAGACTGGACAGCCACTTGTCCGAAATGGTGTAGGGATTCCTGCCCAAACAGGGGGTTGGACTAGATGACCTCCAAGGTCCCTTCCAACTTTACTAATATGAATATGAATTACCACTGCAGCCACACCCACCCAATTGGCCACGCCCAGTCAATGGGCCACACCCACCCGGCACTCAACGATGCATAAGTGGGTTTTGGGTTGCAGTTTGGGCACTCAGTCTCTAAAAGGTTCACCATCACTGTCCTAATCTAAAATTACGGAAGAATTCAGGCAGGATGAAGATTACCCTCACCTTCATCTTGCGTGGAAGAGGAGGAATTGCTCATGTCGGTGGGGAGCTCTTCACTGGGAGGTGGGTCCCCCTCCGGGGGGGACACAGCAGGCCCTTGCAACAATTCATCTGGAGGGGGCTCTGTGGCTGAGGTCACTGTGTGGCTAGATGAAGCATCCATTTGGCTATCAGTGTTATCCTCCGGATCTTCCGCCAGCTACGGGGAAGCAAGTCGGCATTAGATTCAAGCCAGCTGAGCTTTGGGAATTGGCTCCATTAAAATACACATTTGGCCACAATTTGACATTCAGCATCCAGACAGCCAATGAGATATCAGCCAAAATATCTGCTGTTTATATGTTCTTGTCACCAAGCATGCAGCAGAAGGTAATACAGGCAGTCCCTGACTTACAACCATTTGTTTAGTGACTGTTTGAAGTTACAGGGACACTGAAAAAGTCCTTTTACAATATTCAATGGGACTCATTTCTAAATAGACCTGCATTGGGCTGTAAATAATTTTCAGAACTAAAATCTCTCTCCTTTTGTAAGTTGCAGGAGTTAAAATCATAAAACCATTTTAGCCAGATGTGCTTCAACAGATCAGCTTCATTTTTAAGGATTCTGAAATACCCTTGGACATTACCCAAATCTGTGAGACTCACTTGAAAAACAACCACAGAGTAAATGTACTGGAGTATTATTAGTCCAGGTATCTTAAAAAATACCCTTGATAGTCAAAGCAGAATTGAAAATTTCACCTGTTTGGGCAGCCTGAGAAAAAGGCTTTTATTAGGAGGGATGAAATCAAACAGAATTACTTTCCGCTCAAAAAGTATTTTAAACAATGGGAGAGCTTCCCATTTTCCCTCATGTGCTTTTGTTTTGTTTTTACTTAAAATTGAGGGTTGGATGTAAAGTCTTTGACATTATTATCAAATAGTCTTATGCTGTTGTTTGCAATGTTTAAGTTATGGATAGGCATGCAATACATATATACTTATAAAGCAAAGGAACAATTGTAGTATTTTAACCTGAGTCTTTTAATAGTTCAAAGGCATTTATTCCACTGCACCCAAGTGTAGAGACTGTTAGTTAGACTGTTAATGCATGTGTTTTGCACACTAAATGTTCCAGAATTAATATCTAGCATTTCTAGGTGGAACTAGAAAAAAAAAAAGACTTTTCTTTAGAGATACATCACCTCTCTGGGGAATATTGAACATAATGACCAATCTACACTACCTTCCTATATTTCAAAGATTCAGATAAAGTCCTTCACAAGCAGGTGGAGATTAATTTGACCTCTGTTCAAGGTATTCCACAGGATCTTATAGTTGGAAATGGCTGTTAGACTTTGGTACCAATCCATGTTACAACATCTCTGATAAATCACAATCTAGCTGCCCTTTGAATTACATCCAATGAAAGGAAGCCTATCTCAAGCTAATGATTCTATATATTTTTTAACATTCAATTGGAATCTGGCTTGCTGTTAACTCTGAACATTAATATTGCATGTCCTGTCCCTGGGAACTATGGAGAGTAAGCCTCCATCTTTCTTCAGTGATCCAATCCTGCTACATAAAAGTTTTCCCACAGGTATTATCTATTAAATCCTTTAACTTAACCCCAAGAGGACAAGGTTTGGGAGATAGCAACCCATAAACATCATGCAACTTTCCAAAGAATTTCCAAGATTATACTACTGAAATTTGGCGGTGTGGTTTTTTTTTTTCCTCCCTCCACCTACAAATAGATGATAAAATAAGTGCATTGAAATATGCAAAACAAACGAGATTTCTAGGGAGGGGAAAGGAAATTATGTGGAGCAGGTAATTTTTAAGAGGAGAATGGAAAAGTTTGCAATCAGCTTATCATGCATTATTGTAGGACAAGTAGTTCTTATGGGTACAAAATCTAGGAATGGACCTTCGTGACATTCCAGCTGTCTTCTGAATCCCCTATCCTCACCGATGTGGTCCCATCACTGCTGCTGGCCAGCGAGCTGATGCTGTGACTGGTGTCCCTTTTGTCCAGCAAGGGACTGGTGAACAGCTTGAGGTCAGTGCTGCAGCGGGAAGCCAGCTCAGTCAGGTCGATATCATCTCCAATTTCTTTGTGGCTTCTGTTGTGATCCAAAGACAAAAGAGAGGAAGATTTAAAAGGAGACTTCTGAACCAGCAAGGCTAATTTATGGAAGGATCAACCTTGAGAAAGGCTGATCACCATCTCGGGCAGATGGCAAAGAGACAGCTAAGAGGTATGGCTACAAGTTCCATTCCCTAACCCAGGAGAAAACTGTCCCAGCTGCAGGACAGTGGATGCTCACCCCAAACCGTTGAGATCATCAATGGGAGAAACGTAATCATCATCTTCGCTGGTCAAGCCAAGTTCAGAACCGTAGCATTGATGGACAATGTGCCAGAGTTCTCGTGGGGGCAACGTCTGGTGGCAATGGAAGAACACGACATTAAGAGACGAAACGAAGAAGTGGGCATATAGCACAGCTATTGAAAAGCTTATGACCATAAGTCAACATCTGTTTCAATTGTGGATTGCTGAGCAAGCTATAATTGACTGGGTTCACATATTGCCCAATGGCATAAACTATGGTTTTCAGTACATAATGGCTGCATTCATGCAACCTATTAAGTGTAGGGAACCATGGAGATGACTTTGGAGAAGGAAACTAGAAACTATTAGGGCCACAGAAAGTGCAGAAGAAGAAGCATGCATTAAGTCCAGCAAGGTGGGAAGTAGAGGTACTCCTCGACTTACAACCACAAATGAGCCCAAAATTTCTGTTGCTAAGTGAAACATTTGGTAAGTGAATTTTGCCCCATTTTACAAACATTCTAGCCACAGTTGTTAAGTGAATTACTGTAGTTGTTAAGTTAGAAACATGGTTGTTAAGTGAATCTGGCTTCCCCATTGACCTTGCTTGTCAGAAGGTCACAAAAGGGGATCACATGACCCTGGGATACTGAGACTGATAAAATGAGTCAGTTGCCAAGAACTTTGATCACATGACCATGGGGATGTTGCAACGGTCATAAGCGTGAAAAACGGTCATAAGTCACCTTTCTCAACTTCGAATGGTCACTAAACGAACAGTGGTAAGTTGAGGATTACCTGTATTAGAAAAAGGCTGGTTCCCCTTAATTCCCCGGGGTATGAGTAAAATGCAATCTGACCTGCAGGTTTCTATTACAATAGCCCAGTGTTTCCCAAACTTGACAATTTTAAGGCATGAGGACTATCGCAAAAAAAGTATAATTCTAGTCTTCCTATGGAATACATTTCTCCATCTGGTTGACACTAAGCCAGAACCAAGAAAGAACATGATGGTTTGGAACAGGCAACCTATGGCGCCCCAAGTTATAAATCCTAGCATCTTTCACCATTAGCCACAATTTCTAGGAAAGCTGGAAATTGTACTTCAACCGTATCTAAAGGATCAGAAAGTTTGTCTCCTTGGTTAAGCATCATGTTTGAATCTCATTTGTGGGTGTATCTGTTTCTATGGGTGTATCAAAGCTAATCAAGTCAGTATATAGGAGCCACAGGTGAAAAACCTTGAAACATGTCCCAAAGGTGCTTTTTCAAGAGGTAAGTGGACTTTCTTTGTTTTTCCTTGAAGATGTTTCACTTCTCATCCAAGAAGCTTCTTCAGAATTGAAGTAAAACGTCTTCCAAGGAAAAACAAAGAAAGTCCAGTTGCCTCTTAAAGAAGCACCTCTGGGACAACCGTGACCTGGATGACTGACCATCTCCACAGACAACCTTGAAATGTGATCAAATCTAGTCCACCACTCTGAGAACTGAGTTGTGGCAAATCCGAGGTGGCTTCTCCCCCAATGTGTTCCTACCTTGTCCAGAAGTGCATTCTGCCAAAGGCGAAAAATTAGCATGAAGCATCGGTCACGGGCGCCGAAGGATGTGAAGAAATGCTGGGAACCACAAAGAAGAACAATGTTAAGACTGGCCTTCCCAAAAGAAATTTGACTGCTGGGAACTTTCATTGCTTCCACTTGTATGTTGTATTTAGGCTGTGCTTTCTCAGGGACATAAAGAAACTTGCTTTCTGAAAATGTTAACTATTTTGGAGGGCTTAGGATGAGCAAGGGGACACCCATACTTGATTGATATTGATTTACTAAGATCTTTTGTTGTGCTTTAATATTTTCAATTGATCTTTCAATGGGATGGCCTTTCTTTCATGGTCTTATTTACTGCGAACTGCAGAGAATCTGATTGATTTAATTAATAGGTAGATAGTAGGTAAATAAATAGGAAGGAAGGAAGGAAGGAAGGAAGGAAGGAAGGAAGGAAGGAAGGAAGGAAGGAAGGAAGGTAGACAGAGGAACTAGAATTTATTCACCTGGATATGCACATTTGATTATGGAGCTGCAGGGATATTCCCTCATCACAGATGATCTCCAGGAGACAATCTATGTTTTTGTTCCTGCTATTCACACAGGTGGGTAGATAACCCTTTATCTATGTAGTGTTGCTCTTCCAGACATGACTGAACTACAACTCCCAGCATCCCCCAGCAGCAGTTATATTATCGCCACATGGTTGCTGGGACATATAGTTCAGCAGTGTTTCTCAACTTTGCCAACTGCATGAAATAGGGAATTCTGGCAATTGAAGTCCACGTAAAATGAAGACGCCAAGATTGAGAAATACTGTTCCAGCAGATCACCATATTCTCGACTCTCAGAAATTGCTTCTTGCCTCATAACATGCATTGTACAGATTGTGCAATGCATTCTTGCATGAATAATAGACTGAAAGATTACAATGATCCCAGGCAGAAATAATGATAGGCTTCTGTGAAATGGGCTCTGCTGTTTCAAACTGCAAACCTCAATACCAGAAGGAAACATCTGAGGCATCTGAGTGATCTTAAAGATTACAAGCCCTCCCTGGCTGTCTAACCACAATTGTTGATGAAGATTACAATCTAACAGACTTCCTGGATGTGCTTATCTTGAAAGGCACTTGCAAAGTGTGCACTGTTTTCTCTAAAGTGTGCAGCCATAAGTCATTAAACTCTGCAAAGAAAGGATGGCTCCACATTAAATGGAGCAGTAAAATGATTTTCTACAACCACTCTAGAGATAGGGACACACCCATTTTGCTTTGGAATTCTTTATACCTGATGTGCTTTCTCTGTTCTAGGACGCTGCCCTGCTGATTAGGGCCATAAATCAGGAGGAGATGCCCCTGAGATAAAGACCTCACCCTTGCACAGCAAAGATGCCAGCAGAAGAATGTAAGAAGTCTAGGGCAGGAATGAGACAGGGAGAACTCGTGCTTTTTCAAAAGGCAAATGGACCTTTCTTTGTTTTTTACCTTGAAGATGTTTTGTTTCTCCAGTTCTGAAGAAGCTTCTTGGATGAGAAGCGAAACATCTTCAAGGAAAAAACAAAGAAAGGTCCAGTTGCCTTTTGAAAAAGCATCTTTGGGACAAACATGACCTGGATGACTGAGAATCTCCATAGGCAGACAGGAGAAAGAAGAGAAACAGTCAACAACAAGACAGTTAGGCTCTCTCTTCTTGCACAGGATTGCAACATTTTCTAGGAAGAAAGATAACCCAGATTTATGGGTAAAATCTATTCAAGTATTTACACTGTGCAGAAGGTCCATCGTGTGCCCCCAACACTTTGAAAAATGAAGAAGAGAGAGAAGGAAGCTGGGACAGAGAAAGGCTGGTATCCTTTGGTTGGGCCTCAGACACCATATTTTTTTCTCAGTGGCACTGAGCATTCATGTGCAGCTTCAGAATGGCTATTCTGGGGAATTCTGGGAATTGAAGTCTACACATCTTCAAATTGCCCAGGTTGAGAAACACTGATCTAGAACAAGGATGGGAAGTTTCCACCACTTAATGCCCAACTGAAGATCCAGATTCAATCCTGGATATTGCAGATTTCTGCCAAATCCAGGAAAAAGCCATTTTATAAAATTAGCTGGGGCACTTTGCAGCCATCCATTTCTGAATTTTGCAGTCCTCAAAATCGTCTCTGGTCACAATACAGGAAGCAAACTCTCGCAGGAGGTTTTGAGTCAGAAAATATACACATAATGAAAGGGAACCTTTAATGCTAGAATAGAAGTAATGCAGATTAAATCAAATTTTCCACAGTGGAAAATCTTGGCCCTGTTCTCATGTATAAAGTGACTGTTTTGTGTCATTTCCTCATTGGGGAAAAAAAAAAAGCTAAATAAGGCCCCACACCTTAAAAAATAAGGAGGGGGAGGGGGGATTGCTACCCATTTGTTTATTTATTATTTATTTATATGGCTGCCAATTCACATAGAGATGATTCCAGGCCAGTGGTTCTCAACCTGTGGATCGGGACCCCATTTGGGGTCGAACGACCATTTCACGGGGGTCGCCAAACAACGCAGTCCGCCATTTTTCCCCCCTTTTCCTTAGCTGTGCTACTCCTTTTTATTCTATTGGCTTTTGAAAGCCAATAGAATAGACACTCTTGAATAGAGTCTAATTCTATTGGCTTTCAAAAGCCAATAGGAATTGTCCAGGCTGTCTCTGCCCTGCTGAGCCCGCCAAAAGTCCCATTCTGCAAACGGTGCTGCACCAGTTGAGTAGTCCTCGACTTACGACCGGTTGAGTAGTCCTCGACTTACGACCAGTTGGGGGGTCACGGCATTAAAAAGGTTGAGAACCACTGCTCCAGGCAATCAGTCCAAGTATAAGCCCCCCACTTCTAAAGTTATTTTCTACTTTTATTCTAGTCTACTTTATTTTTATTTAACTTTTAAAGTTTATTTTAATTTTATTCCATTTATGATTATTTTAATTTATTTTTATTCCACTTTTGCGAGTTTTTTTTTTTCTACAACAGGCAAGTAGATTCGTGCAGCTTCAAATTGCTTCAGCGGTAGAGATGGCTACAGATAACCCGATGACAGATGACAAAGAAAGCGCAGTTTTTGCAACACATGAAGAAAATCAGAGACTGGAGCCCTTTTTTTTTAGCAAATTATAAAATGCAATACCTTGGAAATGACAACATCAATCCCTAGGCTTGATCTCACCTTCTCGGACTCTGTGCAAATCTGAATTGCGTTGGGGATCAGCTTGGCAGTTTTTTCCTTCTTGATGCATATCACCTCCTTGAGCTGGATGGAGATCTATCATGGAAAGTCAACACAGAAGTTAGAGGCAGTGACAGGCAGAGCTAAAAGCAACCAGAAAGAATCCCAGATGGAGCATCTACCGTGGTCTCCCATCGAAAGATGTTGCTGTAAAAGCAGATCCAGTTTTCCGATAGATAAAGCCGACCTTGAAGGAGGATGTCACGCTGCAACGCACAGGAGTAATCTAAGGAGACAGGAGATATCAGGGGGCATGGAAAGGGAGATGGAGAAAGTAGAAGTTAAAATGGGAAATTATCCTTGCAGCCTGGTACTAAGGGGGCTGCAGGCCCAGAAATATTAATCAAACTTCTGACATTTTTATTTCAGATACAGGTAATCCTCAATTTATGACTGCAACTGAGCCAGGAATTAGGGTTGTAAGTTAAAAGAGGATCATCACATGACTATGCCTGATTTTTATGACCTTTTTTTGCATGGTCGTAAAGCAGATGCAGTGGCCATTAAGCAAATGCTGCTATTCTTAAGTGAACCAATTGTTTACAATGGGCAGTTTTTGACAGAAACCAGAGGTAAAAAAAATCAGTTTCGGGGGGGGGGGGGGAGAACAAAACAAAACACTGTAAATTGTGGTCACAAGACTGCAAGACACTGCAAATGGTTGTAAATGTGACTGCCAGTTGCTCAAAATGCAATTATGTGACCACCCAGGGGCGGTGGGGTAGCCATTGGAACTTCAAATTTGGGTTGTAAGTATCTTTTGAAGGGCACAGTCGTAACTTTGAATGGTTGCTAAGCAACCAATCATACATTGAGGCCTACCTGTACATTGGCTATGCTCACACACAGTATGGTTAACCTACTTGGGAACCCATTTTTAAGGTTATGTCCCACCCTTTGAACTATAAACTAAATCAACACGCAATATATTATGCCACCAAACCCAAAACACTATCCTAGCCAAAGCTAAAACCAGCTATATCTTGCACGTTACACAATTGCAGCAGTGGACTTTGTAACTGAGAGCCAGAGATAGACAGCATTTAAAAAAAAAAAAGAGTGCTAAACATAGCTGTGACAACTACAAACCACCAGTGCTTTTAAAAACCCAAGGCATTTAAAACATATCTAGACATGATAATTCCAATTCTTGCCCTCCTTATATTTTTCCCCCCTTTGCTTTAAGTGCTACCCTCTGGAATGTTGAGCTATTTGAAGATCATCATAAACCTCTGAAGTGGCAAGCATTCCAAGATTGGAAATTACCCACAGAAATTGCTGCTGACATCCAGCCCCCAAACTGAAAGAAATAAGAGGAAAAACACTAGGTTTTTCTTCCCCCTTAAGTTTCATAATTTCCCCCACTTTCCAAAGTTGTTCTCCCAATATCTTGCACCATCTTTATGCAGTCACCGATGAGTGATGTGTCATCAAACTGGTGTTAACTCTTAGCGACTACAATAGGTAGATTTTCTCCTGGATGATCTGCCCCTAACTAGGTCTTTCAGGTCTTCCAAGCATGCAGCCATCACCACTTGAATTGAGTCTTTACTAATGGTTGTCCTCTTTCCCAGCTTTACAACCTTGTCCAGAGAGCTGGGTCTTCACACAATGTGTCCAAAGTAGAATAATTTAAGCCTGGTCACTTCTGCTTTGAGTGAGAACTCTGGGTTGCTGTTTGAAGGTCCATTTGTTTTCTTGGCTATCCGTGGTATTCTCAGAGATCTTCTCCAACTCCAAAGTTGGAGTCTCCAAATCCCAAAGAGTCAATACCCTTTCTCTCCTGCTTCTTCAAAGTCCAACTTAGCCTTCCATTGAGGTCACACAGAATATCATAGCTAGTTCCAACCATTATGAAGTCTCTAACCCTTGCAAGTGATCCTATTTGCCCAATTCATCCACTCTGTTATTTAGATCAGAGGTCCCCAACCTTTTGGGCACCAGGAACCGATTACATGGAGAGAGGTTTTTCCGTGGACCGGAGGGGGTGTGGTTTTGTGTGCTGCCTGCATCCTGCAGATGGGGCTTTGCTTGTTTGAGTGGACTGGTTGCTAGCATGCCGCAGCCCGGTACTGGTCCACAGACTGGGGGTTGGGGACCCCTAATTTACAGTAGATCCAAGCCCAGGCCATTCCCAACCCTCATCTCCTCTGGTGCCTCACCTACAAGAAGACGCTCAGCTTCAGGCAAGCCTTTGAAGATCCTGCGGAAGTCTTCATTGCGTTGCTTGTACGTGGGACTCAACATCTGCCAATACATAAACAGAGGCTTTAGGATGAAATGGTCTCCTTACCTTCAGCTTAACCTGCCTTTCCAGCCTGGCATTCTCCAGATGGTTTTGTCAATCAACATAGTCATATCTGCTGGACTAGGTCCTTTCTTCACAAAACACCCAAATCAGAGAAGACCTATAGCCACTTCTACCACTAGAAGTGGACTCTAGGGAAGAAATTAGTTACAGGGTCTGACAGCAATGTTTTCACCAAGAAGATAAGGGTTCCAAAAGAATGAGATTATGTCTATTTATTAGCTTTAAAAAGAAATTATTCCTGCCTTTCCTTCAAGGAATTAAAATAGCATATTAACATTTCCCCATTTGTTTCACCACAATCCTGTGAGATGGGTCAGGCTGACAAGCTGGTCAAGACTGCTCACAGCACTTGATAATGGGAGATCTGAAAATAGGTCTTTCCTGCACTATAGTATTTTTTTTTTTGCTAGGTTCACACAACACTCTTGAGGCTGGTTACTAAACTAACTCATTTTCTGCATTCTGTACATTATACTGAACGTGAAATCAGCCATGCAGATCGAATTCATAAACTAGGCTAAGCCACAAAAACAAAACTAAACCCCTATTAACCAAAGCTAATGCAATATGCTAATGTTATAACTTTAGTTGATTTGTTTATATGGTGGTGTGAACTCAACAACTGATTATCTCTTGCTAAGTAAACAGGGGCTGATTATCTCAAGGAGAGAGAAAAAGATAGGTACTGAACAAAATCAAGGATGTGAATTGTGAACTGAGTAGCTGCCTCAATCCCTTGTTAGATTTATATCTCGTCTTTCAGAAATATAAAGGTGGCATACACAGCGCTCTCTCCTATTTTCCCCCCACAACAAGCCAGTGATGAAGACAGGGTTGACAAGGAGGGCCTGGCCCAAGTCCCCCAGGGTGCTTCTGTGGCTGAGAAGAACTAGAATATGTTCCCCTCCATTCCTAGTCTAGCACCTTCTCCATTATTCCACTGTAACCTAATAAAATTGTCTTTCTTTCTTTCTTTCTTTCTTTCTTTCTTTCTTTCTTTCTTTCTTTCTTTCTTTCTTTCTTTCTTTCCTTTTCTTCCTTCCTTCCTTCCCTTCCTCCCTCCCTCTCTCCCTCCCTCCCTCAAGCACATACACATACATCTAAAAAGAAGAGGACAAAACAAATTCTGCATGCCTCCCCAATTATCAGCCCTGTAATCATACCACAGACCCCATTCTAGGGGAGGAAAACTACACATTACCCATTTGTGGAATTGAAGGGAAAGTGAACGAGAAATACCAGAAGTTTTATGAAGGAGAGGGGTGAGGAGGGAGGGAGGGAGGGAGGGAAAGAAAGAAAGAAAGAAAGAGAAAGAAAGATAGATAGATCTGTATCTCTTACTTTGTCTGGATGAAACAGCCGCCAGCAGCATGTGAGGAAAACCTAGGTTTGTCATAGCAAGCAAGACCAACCATGATCCAGAAGGTAAAGGGTTGCAGACCACATCCTGATGGTTTTGGACAAAGAGGAGAGAACTGTTGCAGCTGGCGGGGAAGGGAAGGATGAACGAACCAACTAAGGGAAAAGTTCGGGTGCCAGCAGCACAGGAGAGGATGGCTGTAGGCTCAACCCAGGAAGGGGTTTTAAGAGTAGGAGAGAAAACAAAGGTGGGACAGGCCACAGTGCGCAAAGTTCAAAGGACGAGAATTCAAAGAATGGTTAAAAGCTTGGAAAAAGAAAAAGCCTGGAGGGAAAATTTGGCTCCCGAATGGCGCTTTGAAGATACAAGAAAGGAGCTTTGCAGGTACAAGACGATTCGGTTTTTCCAAAGGCAGGGAATCCTGTTGGCAGAGAGGGGTGGGAAAGACAACTAGACAGAAACTGGTGATTATCAGAAAAAGAGAGGGGGGGGGGTCTGGAAAGTTTTTTTCTGGAGCCTTGAAAGGCACAACTGGAGTCCCCCCCCTCCAAGGAGAGCTCGAGTTACGCCGTCCAGCCATTGGCTGAGGGCACCTGGGTGTTGCTTAGAGGAAACAAAGGGGGTGGGTGGGGAGAAGGGTGTCAGGCTTCACTTAACCATTTCCTGCCCGCAGACGGAATTTATTCCCTGCCAAAGAAAACAGCAGAAGCATAATCTGTAATCCTGGCGAAGGGCCTTGCCTTTCAAAGATCCAGGGGATTGGAAGGGAGGCTGCTTTTAACTGGGGAGGGTGTGTGTGAGAAAGGAGCCCTACACATGCCTAGCATGAGAATGGCTGCATTCACACAACCCACTTAACCTGGTTCCTGAATGAAACCATCCCCTCTGTTCAAAGCACTGAGCCATAAATTAAGAGGGCAGACCCGCTGTGCAGCAAATGCTAAACTATTAAAACTTAACTACTAAAACATGGCATGCCGTGTGAACACAATCAGTGTGGAATTAGATGCCTGTAACTCTGGTCCCAGAGACAAATGTGAGGGTTGAACTCTGCTCCAAACCTGGGCCAGTGTTTATTTACTCTTCTGCCTGTTTATATTCTGCGTTTTTCATCTTCCCTCTGGGAATATTCCCAGGGCATATCTAATGCCAAGTATTGTGCAGAACCAAACCAGGATCGCAAAAAGTAGACTCGAATCATAGAACTGTGAAGTTGGAAGGGACCACAAGGATTACCCAATCCAATCTTCTGCAATGTGCTGGAAACATAATTCAACTTTCTCTGGAGGCGTGGCTGTCAAGGACCTCCAGAGATGGAGAACCCATCACCTCTGTAGGTAAAGATGATCCTGCATTTATGACCAGTTGTTTAGTTACCATTTGAAGCTATGACAGACCTCCCCAAGGTGACTCTTGATAGAATTCCAAAATTCTAACAGCCAATTCCCCTCCCTCCTTCCCCACAATTGCCTGACTGCATTTCAGACACTCGCCAACCAGTCCACAAGTCCACATTTATGGCTGTTTGCAGCACCAGAATCACACAACTGCATTGTGTGATGTTTTTGATGCAAACCGCCATTTATGTCTGGGTTTTGGCAAAAATACCCTACAGCAAACAATGGATTCTCTTTATGACCATGGCATTTCCTTAACGACCACCATAAAAATGCCATAAAACTGGGTTGATCATGTGGGTGGCCTGCTTTGTGATTACATTACCGAACCCAGAGCATCCCTTCACAGATGGAATATTATTTTGAGTTCAAATCCACACTCAGCCATGAACCTTGTTGGATGATCTTGAATCGGACACATCCTCTCCCCCTATGCCCCTCCCCACACATTTGTTATGCAGATAACACAAGCAACAGGGAGAAAGTCGTGTGTTTTCTTACATGGCTGAAAAAGAGGCTATAAAGATGATAAAATCAATCAACATAAATATTATTATAGGTAATCCTTGTCATGCAGTCACAATGGAGCATGGAATTCTAGTTATCAGTTATCGCAGTATTAAGCTGAGGCATCACCTGGATGGACTAGATTTTACAACCATTTTTGCAATGGTTGTAAAGTGAATCATGGCAGTTGTTAAGTGAATCAGATGGCCATTCAGTGAACAAGCAAATCCAGAATATCCAATGGCTACTTGGATGTATTTTACATGTACAAGTAGTCCTTAATTAGTGACCACAATTGGGACTGGCAAGTAAGTCCTTAAGCAAAACCGTCAGTAAATGAAGCCATGACTGTGCTTATATAGGTAGTCCTCGACTTACGATCATAATTGAGCCCAAAGTTTCCATTGCTAAGCGAGACCTTTGTTAAGTAAGTTTTGCCCCATTTTACAACTTTTCCTATCACAGTTGTTAAGTGAATCACTGCAGTTGTTAAGCGAATCTGGCTTCCCCGTTGACTTTGCTCATTAGAAGGTCGCAGAAGATGATCACATGACCCCGGGACGCTGCAACCATCATAAATATGAGTCAGTCACCAAGATCTCAATTTTGATCCCGTGAGCATGGGGATGCCACAACTGTCATTAAGTATGGAAAACGGTCATAAGTCACTTTTTTTCAATGCCGTTGTAACTTTGAATAGTCACTAAATGAACTGTTGTACATTGAGGATTACCTGTAATCTTTTTTCAGCTTTCCTTGGCTTTATGGACCTACAAACATTTGTCAGTGCAATGATTGTTCACAAAGTTCACCATTGTAACTGCAAACTAGACAAGGATATCTGTTGGTGCTTCCCCCCTTCAGCTCAGTCAGATTTGTCTATTTAAATGAGATTTGATTTCTAACAAACAAAACTCCACCAGGCAACACATTCTCGATCATTTGGCCAAACGCCAAATTTCCAAACTAAATAGTTAAGTATCCACTTTGCAAACAAAATGGTGGGACACCCTTTCAGTGGCACCGAGCAACAGTTCTTCAAAGCTAGTCTTCCAATCTCAAATGCAATTTACCACGGTCTGTTTCAGATCTAAACTGGGCACGAAGATCAATTTATAAAGTCGTCGTCACCACCACCACCAGCAGCAGAAGAATTTCTAAATCTCCTTTTGCACTCTGGGTTTCAACCCATGTCAAAAGTACTGAAGTTAATCTAAAAGAAAAGCTGGGGGATTGGTGGTGTTCCCAAACAATTCACCTAGGATTTCCAGTAAATCTTAGTGGGAATCTATTAAGGAAATAAATTCTATTTTTTTTCCTGTCTTATCTTGCAAAGCCCTGTGGAAAAAAAAATGTGCCCTGAAATTCAGAGTTGTATTTCTTTCAGACAACTGTGATAAGCAGCAATGAAGCCAGTTTCTGGGTAAACATGCAAAGGAAACTAACTACATCCAGTGAAAAAAAAGTACAATGAATTCTACTGAACTTGACAGGTACAGTGGCCATTAATTTTTGGATAAAGCAAAATTATGAACATAAACCTTTTTTGCCCCAGTTTCAGGTTTGATCTTTATTTTTTCCATATTGGAAAATCAAGAGCAAAAATGAATATTTAAATTAAAATCTAAAGGCCAGCGTTTTGAAATAAAGGACTGTCCTTTATAATAAAGGACATACAGTCACGGTATCATTCTATAGGGCTCCCTTAGTAAAATCTTTTAAGTTAGAAACTAAAATGGATTGGGGATATTGCAAAGCAATATCGGTGAATTATTATAACTTCTGCTTTTAAGAAAATATTTTATGCTTCTAACAGTTTTTATTCTTAAACCTCCAACAGAAAAATAATATTAAACAGCCAGCTTTATGTAGTGCTGAAGGTGCTGATCTAGAAACCAGGAGATGATGATTTTAGCCATAGGTGTGAAACTGGGTGACTTTGGGCCACTCCCTCACTCTCGGCCCAGCCCACCTCACAGGGTTATTGTGGGGAAAATAGGAAGAGGAAGGTGTATTAAGTACCGTATATTCACTGCTTTGAGTTATATATTATAAAAAAGGCAGGATAAAAAAAATATCATCATCATCATCATCTACTTACACTGTACCAGCTCTGCATTTTCTGAAAAAAAGAGAAACGAAAAGAAAAATTAGAATTCTTTGCAGGAAGGACACATGTCCAAAGTTATTTTGAAACCTGACCGATTGCAAAACTGGCTTAAACAAAGTAGTGAATTTATTATTTTGGATTTTTGAGGCAACATCTTGAATGGGACAGTAATTGACCAGAGTGGGTACTTCATCTGCCGTAGCTGAGTCTCTAAAAAGTGCCTCTATTCTTCAGCCTCTGCTCTGAAATGGCCGCCAGAACAGATAAAATCAGAGTAATAATTAGAAAAAAATCTTTAATAAAACAGAAGAAAAACAATAAAAAGCAGAAAAAGAAAGAAATGAAAGTAAATACATTAAATGTTATTATATCAGTAGAGATCAGGGGTAGGCAATCTTGGCTCTTTTATGACTCGTGGACTTCAACTCCCAGAGTTCCTGAGCCAGACATGCTGAGGGGACAGGGAGAGGTTTCCATGCTGAGCCATGCTGGCTCAGGAATTCTGGGAATTGAAGTCCACGAGTCATAAAAGAGCCAAAGTTACCGACCCCTGGTATAGATTATAATACAGGTAGCTCTTGTTTAGCAACTGCCACGTTTCGACTGTCCACAATTAGATCGGTGATGACAAAGTAATTTTGAAACCAGTCTTTTAGATCGGTGATGACAAAGTAATTTTGAAACCAGTCTTTTCATCTCCAGATTTGATTCAGAGGAGGCAGGTGAGTTTGAGTCTGCAGAGGAAAGTCAGGGGCCAAATATTGGTCAGGTTCGGGGGCTAAGAGAATGCTAGCCTGAGGGAGCAGCCCCAGCTGGGGCAAAGAAAGGTGAGCTACAGCTTCAGCAAGTTGGCCAGGAGGCTCCAGGCAAGGACCAGGAGTAGCTGCCGCCTGTTACCAACGAGGAGGAGGTGGAGTCCACATCCCCTCCCAATCCAAGGACACACGGAGCAGAGAGGAGATAGGTCAGCCAGATTACACATGAGGAGGCAACCTCGCCTCTATTGCCTATTTAATCCCGCCCTGAGGTCTTCAGTGTTGCTGGAGCAGCATGCCCAGTTCTGTGCCTTGTTTGCTTGGCCTATTTGACTCCTGGACTGCTTTCCTGGATTTCATGTGTGCCCATTGGACTCAGTTACCCAGTGACTCTTGCTGTACTGAGCCTGGAATCCAGATCTGTGCAACAGGGGTGCTTTCCAAGGACCTGTTTGGGAGGTTCAAATAAACACCTATAGAACTCTTGCTGTACGTGCGTGTGAGGGGAGCGGGGCAACACACTGTGTAAGAGAGAGAGGGAAATGCTGTCAACGGTTCAGGATTCTGTTATTATTATAGCCTATATCAACACAGGAGACTTCCAGTATTTCTTGCAGAGGCTCTTTCCTGACCTGGCTTATCTCAAAGGGCTGTCTCCAGGTGGTGAGAAATGAGTAATTTTTTAATTTTACAGCTAACTTTTCTATGTTGTTTTATGTATCGGTTATATTATATTGTAGGCCACCCAGAGCCCCTTCCCTCTGAAGGAGATGGGCAGTTTCGAAATATGAAATATAAATAAAAAAATAAAAAGAACCACATCAGCTAAGTAACTCAAAGGTCAGATCTCGAGAAAGCCATTCCACCATTGTTTTACCTGCCTTCAGATCTTCCCCCAATCGTACCTTGTTATTGCGCATAAAGCTACGCCCACTGAGTGGGTAGTTGATGGGGTTGCCTTGAGGGGCCGGTGTTGGAGGGCCCCGCTCGGCAGAGTTATCGGTACCCTTTTCCACCATGGTCTCTGAGGGTGGCTCTGGAGCCGGTCGGGCAGGCAGCTGCAAGAGGCGCTTTCTCAAGGATGGAGAGTTGCTGGGGGTTGTGCGCGGAGAGATGGTGCCACTGCTGGAAAGAAAGTTGGAAAGGAACATGATGAGACCCAGTTGAAAAGGCTAAATCCTGGCAAGGTCAAACATTTGCCCCAACTCCAGCATCAGGTCCTATGTCAAGCTATGTTTGTAAAGGGATGTGAGAATGACCTTGAAGAGGGGAGGAGGAGCTGCAGACTTGATAATAGTCATGCAAAAGATGAGTCAGTCCATGGAGGGAGGGAGAGTACGGGAAGTATTTCACAAGGGATCCTTTCCTACAAGGAAAGGAGGGGAGAAATACTTCCAATCTTGCAAGATTCTGTTAAGGCAGGAAAAACAGAGCTGGGATTTATTGTTCTGATTCTTGTCAGAATCAGAACAATAAAAGAGCTAGCATCAATCGAGACATGCCTTCATTCCCACCTCCCATTACAAACACAGCTCCCACCCAGCAGCCTTTTCTGCATCAGATGAGCTGCATTCAGCCAACATATTCCGCCTATGTTCTGCATTAACAATTTGGCTTCATTCGTTCACCATGCTAAGCCACCCCCCAAGTACTAACCAACATAATATTTTGTGTGAATGCAATACAGGATTTTGTGCAGTCCTGACATTTCATTAGCTATATTCAGACTGTGAAGCCTCTTCACAATTTTTTTTCCTGATACTAATATCCTGCCTTCCATCCAAGATACTCAAGGCTACTTCTGTGAGGTGTTTCTCAATCTTGGTAGCTTGAAGTTGTCTTGGACTTCAACTCCCAGAATTCCCCAGCCAGCATGCTGTTCATCTTTTCCTGCTCATGACAACCCTGGGAGGCAGGCTGAATAGAGAAAACAAACCTGGACCCCAAATAGCGGGGAATCTTTTGAAATTAAGACTCCTACAGTATACCTATTCAGAACCGAAGGCAGAGAAGCAAATTATAAAGAAATTCTCACTGCTGTAGAGCAGGAGCAATATCAATTTGAGTAAATTAGATAATTCTCATTCTGGGTTGATGTCCATACGTAGCTGACTGTTAAATGTAAAAAAAAAATAACTTAACCTTTGCCCAGAAAATTCCAGGAAAGGATGTCTGTGTGTTTATCTCTTATATAGTATAGGCACAAGAGGCTCTATAAAAAAAGATACAGGTAATCTTCAATTTATGACCAGTCACCTAACAATCTTTCACAGTTACAACAGGCCTCCCTTACAATCCAGTGCTGAAGTTCTTGGTCACATCACTTCTTTCCAAGCCCTCAGCAACTGGCCTCAGTTTACAGCCATTTGCAACGTCCCACAGTTACAGGGCCAGAATTTTATGACTTTTTTTTTTTTTGCAGTAGTTGTTAAACGAACCCATGGTTCATTATGGGCCACTTTTGCCAAAAACTAGCATTCACGTTTGCTTTTTGGCCCATAATGAACCATTGGTTTGCTTAACAATCACTGCAAAAAAGGTTGTAAAATTGGTTTGGTTAAGGGAGT